GAGACGTTCGTTGCAAGTGCGATTTTGTGCCATTGAACCAATGTATATTTTCACGGTCACGTGGATATCGTTCGTTTTAAGCGAAAGTTCGTTTTAAGGGGGGACACGGAGTGTGGAGCCCGAAAAATCACGAGAAAACTCTTTTTTTTATTGCATTTTTGAAATCTACAGCTACTAGTGCACTTATATCGTGAATTTCACGCCTATAATATTATTATTTTATCCACTAAGACTCTTTATACAGCGCTTTCTAGCTAAATCTGAGTCAAAATCGACGTTGAAATTGCACATTTTACGTGACGCGCTCCTGCCCTTTCATGTATGCCAGCACGACCCACTTGGTCTCATTTGAGAGAGCTGTCTTTCACCTTCAAATTCCCGCCAGAATGGGTCCTATTCAACCATTGGCAGCTTGTAAAATGAACGGCAAAAAGAAGTATCAGAGCGCCTTCCTATTCGCTACTTCGCGCACGTGACTTGAGCTTGCCTCCCTATTGGTGGAAGTTCCTGGCTTCGTCTGCTCTGGGTATTGAGGCGCGCGTCCATGTGCGCCATTTTTCCTCAGTGTCAGCGGAGAAGTTACACAATGTCAAATCCTGAGTGCAAATTTCGCACGCGGCACAAGTTTGGTGTGAAAAAGGTGCGAAGGACGCTAGTAGCGAATTTCGAGAAGTGCTCCGTGATACAGCAAAACCCCCAAGATGCTGCACTCTCCACGTCCCATGACGAAGTTGTCGACGCTACCAAAGAAGGCCTAGCTACCGCACCAGTTGTCCCGGAGCCTGTGCAAAGTCCGTCAGTCGCGGAGCCTTCGAGCAGCGGTCGCGTGCATCTATCTATCTATCGGCAGCAATCTGACTTGGAAGACGAGCGAGCCAAAGCTGAAGATAAGTTATCGGAGTTGTTCGCTGCAGCGACGGAGCAGAAACGCGCATTCGTGGTTGACGGTGCCGACGAAGCAGCTCGGCCGCCTGATGAAACCACGTTCACAATTATAGATTTGGACACAGTGAACAGTTCTTTGTTGGCATTTGCAAAGTGCAAGGCATGTAACGGAGAACTGCAGATTGTCTGCGACGACCGGGAATTCGGACTCACCGTGAAGTTGCGTTTTGTGTGTTCGACCTGTGGGGAGACTGCGTCATTGTGGAGCTCGCCGCACGTACGTAGCGATGAACGCATGAAACCTTTTGCTGTGAACGTTTTGGCCGTGCATGCTATGCAAGCAACGGGGAACAGACAGGCCCGCTGAATGATGTGTTCTCGTTGATGGGCATCAGCCGTCGGGGTCTTCACACAAAAACGTGGCAACACTACGTGAAGACGAAGTAAGTTGGCACTCGCGGCCGATCGTGCTGCGCGCAATTTGACGAGCGACTGTGCGCGGCTGGCGCGCGAACTTTACACCGAATTTAATATAGGCCACATGGGAAACATCGCAGTGTCGTTTGATGGGTCATGGATGACTCGTGGTCATTTGCGAATATTGGTCTCGGCACCATCATAGAATTGTTCAGCGGGCTGGTGCTTGACTTCGTTGTCTTGAGCAACTTTTGTGCTAGATGCGAGTCGGGCCCAAAGGAAGGTGACCCTTTTTATGCAGCGTGGAAGGAACATCACTAGTGTCAGAAAAACAGTGACAAGAAGGCTCGGGAAAAGAAGGTTGAGGCTGCCCTCATCCTCTTTAGGAGGTCACTTGAACGGCACAACCTGCGCTACACCACGGTGCTTTGCGACGGGGACAGCCACAGTTACTTGCGCTACAAGAAGATAAGGTTTATGGATATATCCCAGTGGAAAAAGAGGACTGCATTAATCATGTCCAAAAGCGTATGGGCACTGCTTTGCGCAACTTGATTGCAAAACACAAAGGCCCTGGCCTTGAGAGTCTTGGGGGAAAGGGCCGCTTGACAGGAGACCTGATCTCCAAGCTCACCATTTATTATGGGTGGGCTCTGAAGACACACAGTAGTGATGCTGATGCTATGCACACAGCAGTGATGGCCACTTATCACATCACGTCCAATGATAATGTGGCAAACCACACTCAGAGCCCCCCTGGTCCAAATTCCTGGTGCAAACAAAATGCGGCAAAGGCCAAGGGGGAGCCCATTCCCAAACATCGTCGAATGCTGCCTCCACACGTCTGCCAAGCCTTACTTCCCATTTATGAGCGCTTGTCAGACAGAAAGCTGTTGCAATGATGCCAGCGAGGAAAAACCCAAAATAACAACGAATGTTTGCATTCAATGGTCTGGGCACTGGCACCAAAGGAGCGACATGCTTCGCTATTCACGGTGGAGGCAGCTGTGGCAGAAGCAGTGCTCAAGTTCAATGCAGGCAATAAAAAGGCATCAGAAGACATTATGAAAGAGCTGAGCCTAAACCCCAGCTGGCAAAGCCGCAGCCGCATGGCTGAAAAGGATCGACGCGCACGGCAGCATCAGTCAAGAAGCGACAAGCAACGGAGAACATGCACCAGTCCCTGAAAAAGCGCCACACAGGGACTCATAGTCAAAAGGACTACATTCTCGATGCATACTGAGCATTTTCAAGTGCAGTCATGTAAATGAATGAGATTTATTTCTTTTTCTCAGTTTCCTGAAAACATGCTTTTTGGTGAGTTTACTAGTTTGTCGGGTTGATATCTTGCAATCAAGAAGAGCTAGAGCAATAATTTTTGTCATTAATGTAAAGCCCAATCTGTGTATTACAAAGCGCTGGGAGCAGAATTTCAATTTGCTGCCCATATAAATTTAGAAGGTATTAAATTTCTTTGTATGTGATAGCCATAACATGACTCCTCAACTTTCATCATCTGGAGAATCACTAGTTTTTCTTTAATTTGAAATCTGCTTGCTGCATTGCATTTACTGCTAATTGCACTGTCTAGCTATGCAATAATATTTACTTTTTGATAAGCAATTTCTTTTCTATTGTCTCCGAAAACAATTGAGTGGCAGCACTGTGTATCTTCTAATTTAATAGACCTACAATGAAAATTTTTGCATATTTGAAATCAGCAGGAGAAACTACATAAGCATGTATATTTTCATCATGTTGGGTCCACAAATACAGAAAATATCTCCACACACCATGTCCCCCCTTAAGTGGGGCCGCTATATGTGGGATCGACTGTATATATATTTTCACGGTTTGATCATTTTTTAACCTTATGACTAAACAACTCGGCAATTTACTCCAAACACGCTGTGCATCCTTCCATTCACATCCTGAATGCGTATCATGCCCCATTATATGCAAATACAGTAGACTCTCTTTAAACAACCTGAAGGGACCAGGAAAATGTGCTCCATTTAGCAGGAATTCTGAGAGATGAGCAGGGGTGCAGAATCCAAGTACGAAACCAATCATAACAGAGACAGTTGTTCTATTTAAGCCACTGTTCCCTTTAACAGATTTCTGTTTACTAAGACACATAGCAATAAAACGAGATCAATAATGTGTTGGGAGCGAAAATAATCTTTTATGCTGTAGTAAATGCTGGTTGGTTGCACTTAAACACACAGCACGTGCCCCACATATGAAAAAGGGGGGACTTCTGCTTAAGAAAAAGAAAGCGCTCGGAGAGAAAGGGGGTGTGAGAAGGAGCAAGCAGCTGTTCTGTTGCCATGATGACATAAGCAATGTAAGTGCTAGGTAGGTGCCACCATCATGCTGACCCTATCCTAAAGGGCTGTAACTGAATGGGGCTTTTGGCAGTAGCATTGTTGGCACCCTTGATTTTAAAAGAAGGTAGACTAAGTAACACCCTCTTGATCACACTAAAAGTAAGCCACGTGTTTGCAGAAAAAAAAAAAAAAAACCTTAACATCATGACGTGCACTGATGAACGAACACATCTTTTTGCACCCTTATCACACCCTCTCCCCTCCCACACGCAGCTTTCAGCGCACTCCCTCTTATGAAAGCAGAGAGAAAGCATCTGAAGAATGCAACCTAGCCCTGCAACTCCGCTCATACTTCACAGATTCTAAAATACTTTTGTGGCAGTTGATCCATGAGGCAAATGCTTTTTTAATGAAGCTATTCGATGATAACTTTGAAAAGTGCTGCTGACCACTTTAACTATTAGTACATTAAAACAGTCAAGTATTGACAATGTTTTACTGAGAGGACATGGCAGGTGCTCGGTGTATATCTCTCGCGACAGGGTTCTTTTCCAAGTCTTGGTATGCTTGAAGATGTAGAACTTTTGCATTGCAGCAAAACCAACATTTGGAACTGCTACAGCTGGCTCAAGGCTGAAAGATGATTGACGTGACAGAAGTTTCAGGTTCAAGTAACCCCTGTTCTAGTTTTTTTTTTTTTTGTCATCGTTAGTGTCCTCCTTGTTACAGCTATGCAGCGCAATTATCCACAACATATTTCAAGTAATCATATCGTATTGACCTGCAATCAGAATTAAATGTCTGAAGGAACAGATGCCAAAGAGTTTCAGCACTCGAAATTTCAGACGTGCTTTGTACACATTACCTCCACAAGGCATTATGTGGCGATTGACCTTGTTTCTCAATTGTCACACTCAAAACTTCCTGGGAAATACCCCAAGGGCATCCAAAACCCATTGGCTACAACTTCTTTATCTCAAGGGCTACAGTCTATGGAACAGAGTGGTGGACCCCACCTGAACAAACCACAGTGGCAGTTTGTCCCACCATTTAAGGAAGTCTTGACATCCCTAAATGCAAGTGAAGTTGCCGTGTGAATTGCCAGCTAAGTATGTGCATGATTTATAAAATTTGCGTTTGTCCTACCCCCAAAAAATCTAAGCCCTGCTTCACTAGTCTGAAGAGGGAATAAAAAAAAAGAAATAAAAAAAAGAAACTAGTAGCCATGCTTTGATGAAAATAGCAATGAGTCTACAATAAGCAATACCATGCACACTGCTTACGTTCTGTATCAAATAGTAATGTGCAGGCAATGTAATCTATTAACAATCTTGGTTGGCAAACACCTTTAGCTATGCCGGCACTTGCCTCAAGGTCCATGGTGATACGCTTGTTCTCCTCACGATTTCCTGAACGCCGCATTTGCTTGACAGCCAGCACTTTGCCTGTGGGCCGGTGGCACATTTTAACCACATGACCACATGTACCTGATCCGAGGTCACCAAGCTTCTCAAGGTCAGCCATCTCAACCCGATACTGATGGCCACCAATGGTGAGCACATTACCAGCTTTCAGGATCTCCTTCAACTTGCTTTCAGAATCGCCCCCACTGTAATTCACAAAATGAATAGAACAAATGTTAAACACCAATGAAAAATCTTGACATGGAAACCATGCAAATGTGCATTACCCCTTGACAGTGCAAGTACTGCACACTAAAACACTTCAATTTTATAGAACTTGGAAAATTCACAATTGTACTTCCTGTGAAATTCAGAGCATGTGCCCCCTCCAACTACACTGCTAATTTCACTTTTTTTTAAACGATTCGGCAAAGTGCGCCCTTTCCTGCATCACACTGTTATAGCGCACCGTGTCCCCCCCCCCCCCCTCTATAGCCTGCATAAATGAAGTCTAATTTTGCTAAGCAGCCTGATCTTAAGCATCAGCGCCTAAAATTTGTCTTCAAAACCTCATTTCTCCGTTAAGGAATGATGATCACACCTCAAACTTCGGGCATGATACCTATAAAAAGTTGTGAGGTGGTTCATGCGAGAAAAAGCACACCCTTAAAGATCTGAATTAACCATAGGGAGATGTTCCCGATGACACACATAGTAAGCAAAAGTAAGGCCTTCGAGACCTGTCTGTTGTTGCCCAGGGCTCTTGGGCATGCTCATTTTCGGAGGGTGCTCCCATGCCATGCCTCCAGTGGCCTTTGCATTTTGCAAGTAGGTGAAAAATCTTTTTAATGCACCACGCCACGAATGAAAGCCATAAGACTTCTGAGGAAGTCCATATGCACTCCATTCATTATTTTTATTCTTTCCTGGCAGGAAAAATTCGCCACCGCCATATTGAATTTGAGCACTGTTTTCGGAAAGTGCCCCTTCAATTTTCTGGTAACTTTGAGATGCTCGAAATATTACGGTTAAAGATGGGTTTTGGCGCGATGCTAGCAATGACATAGACACACAAACAAGCTAGCACAGACACACTGAATCAGGAAGAAGCAACAGATGTGAATGATAAAGATACTGCCCCCAAATCCAGAGGAGGCGGAAATGTTGTAGGCCCGTGTGCTCAGATTTGGGTGCACGTTAAAGAACCCCAGGTGGTCGAAATTTCCGGAGCCCTCCACTACGGCGTCTCTCATAATCATATGGTGGTTTTGGGACGTTAAACCCCACATATCAATCAATCAATCAAATCTAGAATGCTTCCAATGATTTCCTGTACCTCGACAAGTGAGACACAAGTTTACTGCTGAAAGCAATTGATTCCAACATAGAATGCATGCAGCAACCACACTTAAAAAATAATAACAAATAAATAAAGCAAATACATATGTGAACTTTCAGTTAAGAAACTTATGTCCTTGAATTGCTAAAAAATTAAAGGATCACATCAACACTTCATGAAAAATGTAAAGTATGGTGTAAATGGCTTTGAATACTTGAGTTTCATTCAGAAATGTTATTAACTCCACATCATCATGTTACCAATGGTCAACTTCTTCCCATCTCTTCAGTTCCTTTGATTTTCCTGTCCACATGTAAAAACAGATGTTATTAATCTATGTTTGTAATGTTGGAGTGTGCACTGCACGTAGTCTGGGCATAGTAGTCTCATCATATAGCACATATACATGAAGGGCCCTGAGGCACCCCTCATAGGAGGTGAAAAATGTATACAGAAGAGAGGAGACACTGCTATGAACAGCTCAGCCAAAACTTGTAGTCCTGCACAGCAAGGAGAGTTCACAAGTGGAGAAAGAAGTTGCCAGTTTCTCAAGTACCGTAATTACTCGAATCTAACGCGCACCTTTTTTCCGGTTAAGCGAGTTCATAAATCGCATGCGCGTTAGAATCGAGAACGAACAAAAAAATTACGGCCAATCTATTGCCATCGGCAAATCTAAAATGGCCGCCCCCTACGTGCGTCGGCATGGCGCGTCGTCCATTTCTGCCTATGTGTTTCTCATGTGCGGCACTTCGTACGTGTGCTGAGGAGTTCGTCATCTAGTAGTGCATTAGCATCGACGGCGTGGAATGGCCGACTCCAAAAACTCGAGTGCACCACGATGCCGCTTTTAAAAGAAAAGTCATCGCGTGTGCAGAAACGGACGGAAGTCGGGCCGCATCGCGGTCGTTCGGAGTTCCCGAAACGTGCGTGCGGGACCGGCGGAAACAAAAGCAGAAGATTTTCGACAGCAAAGCTTTACGCAAAGGCTTCAGTGGACCACAGCAGGGTCGGTTTCCGCAAATTAAAGAGCTGCTCGGCGAGTATGTGCTTTAGCAGCGAACAGCACAGCGGCCCGTGACGGCAGAACTGCTCCAAGTGCAGGCTATGCAATTAGTCTTAGAAAAAGGTCTAATGCGGAGCCAGTTTAAAGCGAGCAGGTGCTGGCTAACTAACTTTATGAAGGGGAAAGGCTTTTCCCTCCGAAGGGGAACATGCATATGCGAAAAGTTTTGCGGAGGAGTACGATGAAAAGCTTCACAGTTTTCAGAGGTTCGTCCTCAACTTGCGGCGCAACAACGACTACCTGCTTGGGCAAATCGGGAATGCCGATCAGACGCCTCTTTACTTCGACATGCCTGGCACCACAACCGTTGAGAAGAAGGGGGCGAAGCAAGTTCGCGTGCTGACATCGGTCCACGGTAAAACTACAGTGACGGCAATGCTCTGTTACACGTCAGATGGGCACAAGCTTCGCCCGTACCTCATATTTAAATGGAAGACGCTCCCGAAAGGAGTCGTTTTTTCGAGTGGTGTGATCATGCGGGCCAGCGAGAAAAAATGGGTGCGCGTTGCAATCGATGTCTTACGTTTTTTTTTTTTTTTCGTGGTGGAAATCGGGTGCGCGTTACAATCGAGGGCGCGGTAGAATCGAGTAAATACGGTACCCTCTCTTCATACAGAAGCCTGTACCCAAGAGGCTGTCACACAGCAGATCCCTCTTCATATAACAGATTGCTGCTATTTGTTCATAGCTGGCATAAACCAAAAACAGACTTTAAACCACAGCACTCTGGGAACACTCCCCAACAAGAGTGGATTATGCAGTGATGCTGCACATTGGCTCGCTAAACACCTTTGATGGCTGGCACATCAGGTTGTTTTGAAGCAAAAACACCCACAAACACAGTCATTGCAAAACGAAACAAAAATTCTTTTTGGGCTGAGCCACTGGAGACGCCAAACATTTTCCAGCCAGTATCATGTGATGTCGCTTTGTATGTCAGGGATCGATTCCAGAAAATGGCACCATCGTATGTCCTCCAGGCTTACCATCTGATAGAGAACTCATAATTTGTTTGGTGAAATGAAGGGCAAAATAATATAGTCGTGTGGTGACCACCAAAAAATAAATTTGATTACTTTGTCTATAACACTCATCAACGCATGTAAGTACGGCAGACATAACACGACTCTTCTTTATTTACTGCCGCAAAGGTAAGAGGCAACCTTCAGGGACGGGGTTTTTTAAGTGACAAAAAGAGAATGAGACTACAAAGGCAACTATACACAAGACTAGATTGATGTTTGGAATACATGACCTGCAAGCATGTACTTGTGAAATCATCATGAAGGAAGTGAAATTTTGAAAAGAAGGGGTATACCCCCGAGCCTTACACATACCTGTCTTGCCGTGTAATTATTGGACTTGATGTAGGCAGAGAAAACTGCTTCACAGGTCGGCTAGGTGCTGCTGCCATCTCATTCGGTAAAACTGAAAAGCACAACCAAACAGATTTTTGAATCTTTCAAGCACTATAGAAAATTCAGTTTTAATTAAAGGGGCACTGAAGCACATGAAAAAAAAAAAACGCGATTATGGTGTCATGATACATAATTTTGTGCTGTGAACTCGATAATAAAGTAAAAAATTTGCCGCAAATAACTTTACTTCACCAAAACAAGCAACAGGCGCCGCGGCCGCCACCGCGAGTTTTGCCGCCGTTGTGATTGGTCGAAGCTTCATGACGTAACGGTCAGGAACGTGAGGACAGCTGACTGCGCTCGCCGGCAGTCAATGCCTTATTTAAATGTTGAAATCGGGTAGTTGCTGTAAGTATGGCAAACTGTGAAAGTCAGACGGAGTTCGCTGTATACATCCGTACATGTTCGAGCCGATTGCTACTTTCAAGGGCGACGACTGAAGCGGCACAGAAAAACGAGTCCCATCCAGTCCCATTCACCTGCGTCGGATACAGACTGGTACGCATAAGATGCATACTGGTGCTTAAGTTCTCTGTAGTAATCGATTACTAATGATACACTTATCAGTGGACATAAAATTTGATAAGAAACAGCAGCATCAGCACCCGCTTTTACCCGCGTATTGGCACGGTTCGCGCTAGGTGTGGGTAGCGTGCAGAAACATCAGCTGTTCGTGGATTTCACAGCTCAGAGGCAAGGCGCGCGGAATGAGTCAGTATGCTACCGTGAGAAAAAAAAAGAAAAAAAAGAAGAGTGCCACTTTTGCCGCAGTGGTGATATGTGCTCTGAACTGGGCTGCAAATTGCGCAAAAATAGTTCGACTCATATATAGTAGTTCTGTTCTTTTATAATACCACCACTTTTTCTCAATTCTGTCCAGTACTACAGTGATGATGTGTTAAAATGCAAACGGTATATCAGCTGCGCTAGAAGCATGTGACTGTCGTGTAGAATAACTGATTTTGATTATGTGTACTCATATCTTTGTACACATTTTTTCGCAACAGGTGCTCATGCAAGCACTGCGCACAAATGGGGATAGAGGAGTGCTGCTACTGCCTCGAAATTTGGCAGATTTGTTAATGCCACAGTGCTCTTCATTTCCTAGGTTTGAAGTATTTTTTTTAAAACTACAGCGGCCCATTTTGCAGCCATCTTCTGATCCCAACGAAACTTGTGAAAAGCGACCTCATCGCGACAATAAGCGCTGCAGCAGCCATATGCCGCGCAGTAACTCGGCAACGCGAGCCCACTTCAACCTTGCACAAACACAACTGGTGAATGTTGGATGGCGAAAATCTCTAATCAGAAGAAGAGAATGGTGCAATGGCGAGAAATTCCTACGAACTGGCAAAACTGATGCTTCGCCAGGCAGCAGATCGCAGCAGAAACAAGGCACAATCAAGAAGTAAACAAGCTGAGATGACTGGTGACACAGGCAGCCTGGCGCAAATTTGCCCGCCGAGCAGCGGCTCAACCCTGACGGTGACGTCACCTCCCCACATCTCTCCCATGCTCCGCCCCTGCGCGTGCCGGCAAGCGTTTTTTTGGTCAAAGTAAATTTGCCCGCTTATAGCGTCGTTGTTCAATCGAACCTCCCGAAAGAAACTTCCGTAGACATGTTGTAAGAGGTTGTGGGTACCGAATTCGCAATAAGTTCACGAATTCAAAACTTCTTCAGTGTCCCTTTAACTCACAAGATTATTAATTACATGCTGCATCAATTATGAATGACCTGATCTTTATCCAATCATTGTAGTTCCATTAAAATTTTTATTGTTTTATTTACACTACCCTAACGGCCCTCAATACTTCTACACGAAAAATTAGTTTGCCACTGTGTGAAACAACACCACTCATGTTGACTTACTTTTCATCCCACCTTTTTCTTTGAGTTTCAATCGACCAGTTATTTCCATCTTTCCAGCTCTAGATATACCACATTATCGTACTTCCAGTAAACTGTTTTCTGAAAAGAGCTCTGCTATGTGTCTAAGCCAGTGGTGTTCAAGTCAATATTTGTTTTGTATGTAGTAGACAGCCAATATCGGAGGATCATTAAATTATACAAGTTTGTTTACCTTGTGGTGCCCTATATCAACAAGCAGTTGACCAGGAAAAAAAAGTGAACTAGTTAATGATATAACTAACGTTTTAACTCTTTCCTTACCATCCCATAGGGCATCGATCACTATGAATCAATCGTTTCAGATGCTCCGCCGAAAATGGAGATGCGCCTTCACGGACACCTAACGCCATCTAGCCGGAAATATAAGAACTATTGCACACTTCGTCCTCTTTGTTTCGCTCTATCCTACCCCCCCCCCCCCCCCCAAGAAAAAAAACAGCGGCGGAGGTAGCGCGGTGTTTCGCAACCGCCAAAAAGAAACTTGTGAGATGTGATTCCACTTCCTCTACCACTCATGATCTTGATTCGAGCAGTAGTGAGGACTCCGTAGAGTTGGATCATCGAATTTCGACTCAGACAGCGATGACTCATCTCCACTGCCCCGACCTTCAAGCAGTGAGTCAAAGTGTAGTTTCAGATGTCGATGTTGTTTGTATACGGTGAGTGTGTTTTGTAAGTGACAACACCTGTTTACATTTTTTACTCGGGTGTCAACTACCACCTATGGAGGCAATATTCTGCCGAATGCACCATGCCGAGTGACGTGCAAATATTGCTCAGGACTGATCCCAAGGTTGAGGCAAGATCACTGTCTGCTATTCAAAATTGAGTAGGTATCAAATATTATCTGACGTCGAGGCAAAGTTGAAAACTGTGAGCGTGCTTGTTTTCTTAATTCTTGGCTGTTCAACTACGTACTTCTGCTAATGGAGCAAACAATGACCAAGCTAAATGCTTTACGAGTGCATTAAATATCAAACAGCTTTTCCAATAACTTTTCCAAAGTACACAGCCAACTAGGGCTCAAATAATGCCCTAACTAATTCCACTCACTATCACATTTTGCAACTAAATAAGTGGCCCACTTAGATCATTTAAATAATAGATCTATGCAATTTATCAATTATAGCAACAATAAAATATGATGAAAAAACAAAACTATCAATTGCACTATCCCGGTAATGAATGAAATTCTGACACTTACACGAGCTCTAGCCAAAGCTAGAATTATGTTGCTGAATTTTAGCAATGAATAAACTTAACAGGACACCGTTTTTACAAAACAAATGTGATTGGCTTGTTGGTGTCTTTAGAAGCTTCTTTTACGATGTAGATGTTGCCACACTAAAGCTTGTATAACTTGCATGCAAGCAGAGGGTAATGCTTTATGTCGGCCAGTCATATAGCTCAAACAGACAACCACCACCTGTCGAACTGCCAAGCTTTCACATTTATGGTGGAACTCTGGTGATACAATCACGGCTCGTAATAATTTCGAGTAATAAGAGTTTTTTCTGTAGTCCCGGCCAAGACCCGTTAGCCTGCAATGTAATAGAGTTCGATTCTTCCGAACTGTCTTTCTCCCCGCAACGTTTCATACAAACACTACCACGCAGGTTCAAACAGTTACCATCTGTACTGCCACAAGAGACGGCAAATTTAGCATGCGAATCTTGGAGGCCCTAATGCGCCTTTGCCTGCCTTCCGGCTTAGATTGCAGATGATGCTGGCGTCATCTCCTTTTTTTTCCCCGCCCCACACGTGCTGCTGTGCTCGAGGCAGCAACGTTTATTGCTACGTTTACACGAGCCTGCCACATCGACGTAAGCCATGTCCTCACAATCAAATATCCCATGAAAGGTAGAAGAGGCCCAAAAAAGGAAGGTCTTGGTGAAGATCTAGGCCTCACAACGTCACCATGCATGATTGTTGGGGATGTGCGCACTAGTCAAATTGAACAGGAGAGACTCAAATGTTGCGCAAACCTCCAGAGTAAACCCCTCGCAACCATAAAATAAGAACAAAAGAAAATAACTACAAAGGACAGCGGTTCTAAAATTTTGTGGCCTTCATCCATCATGTGCAAAGTGCTCTGATTTCAGAAATTTGGTGTCATGTGGAAAAGCGTAGTAAGATTAGAAAGGGGGCTACTAATGGTCAAGGGTCGTAACGCATTTCCTTCCCTGCATGCACCATATATTTACGACTACAAGTATGCCCGCTGATGTCTAGAAACTTTCTGGCAATCATTCACAGCTTTTCATGCATGTTGCTACGGGACTGAGAAACAATAAATGAAAACGTATGCCAGCTTTCATTGGTCGTATTCTGATTTTCCATGTTTTCTGGTGATATAAATAGTTTTCCTTACCCAGCGAGATTCATATCACCGAGGTTTCATTGTATAAAAATTTGCAGCACGTTTCACCAGCAAAAGCACTGTATGTACAGTCGAGCTCAACGCGACCTGTGAATGGTGCAAATGACTGAAGACTACCCAAGACTGCACAGCGGCACCAGAAGGCATTAAGCTGGTTTACAAGCAAGGTGTCTACCAATTTGCCTTTTCAAAATTCCCTGACTTTTCCAGGCTTTCCATGATGATTTAAGGCAAAGTCCATGATCGTTATGTCTTCTTTAAAAGCACTGGAAACCGACCCTCGAGTGGTTAAAAAAAAATCAGGCGCTCCTATAAAATAAGTAAGTAAATTTACCACAAGTGCTCGGAATGTTCTGAGCATGTGCAGTAAATATGAAAAAATATGTATATCCGGCCAATATGAAACCTCCGAGCCAGAGAGTAAGCAAGTTGGCTGTTTAATGTTTGGAAGAATGGTAAAGCAAACACACGAGTTGAAATTAGCCACAGCTAAAGGTTTGAAGGAGCCCACAACAGTCCTATAGTGAAAAGAAAGCTGCTAGAAAACATAGAAGTGCACCATCTCGTGGCATCTGTGTAAAAGGAGAACGCCGGAGTTCGGCCGGTTCAGCTATTAGAATATATTCTAGTTCACAATAATGGTTATAGACCAGGCCGCTGAGGATATGAATTTAATTAGATCGACCTGTATTTACTGACCTTGATGTGGATTGGATTGGATCTGATGCGACCTGGATTGCTGTGTTTACTATTGGTTTGCATCCCCACCTAAATTACACACCTCTACTATACACTTTCCAGCAAAAAATAAAAATAAAAAACACCACTACTACGTACTCGCATAATCTGTACACTTTGCATTGAACAATGACTAACAATGTTGCAAGAATGGAGCCATACTGCATAATTTTTCTTTCTTTCATTTTTTTTCCCACAACAAGCAACGTTGATGTTTTATTTATGTGGTCTCTGACGCTTATAGTTTGACAAAGTCCTTAGATTCCTGCGATGAAAGCTAGGGGTAGCGTTAAAGTGATGAGTTAAAGTGATGACGTTTGAATATGTGCTGGCAAAAAAGAATCTGTCAGGGTGCAACAGCTACCTCAATTCCATAAATTTATCACAGATGCCAGTGGGTTACTTTCATTTGCGTACTTGTCTATGAAGATAACACTAAAAAGTGTTCACAGATTTAATAATATCATCTCAAGAAACTGAGATGAGAAATTTAGACGAAGGCACCCAACTCTACCCTTGAAACGCGAGCTACCAGCAATAAGTGTAGCTGAGGACGTTTGCTGTTGAATCGCCAATAATAATAATAATAATAATAATAATAATAATAATAATAATAATAATAATAATAAAGGGCATGACATAGCCCGGCAAGCCTCTGCTAAAGGCAGTCCTAGCCGAACCAGAAGGCTTTCAAGCCGAGCCAAATCATGATTAAGACAAACATGCACAAATTTAACGACGTGAATAAAGTTCTGGTGTAAAAGTAACATATGCTGTGTGATATGTAGAAGCAATAGGCATAGAAATAGTGCATGTACTAACATAGAAGCTAAGGAACGCTTTAGATAATGTGAAGGACAAGTTGCCAAGCGGAAATCTCCACTGCCTTTTTTACTTTAGGCAGCCACGATTGCGACGACCAGTACATAGGTGAGACCACTGATTTCAAGGAAAGAGATAAACGACACGAATATGATGTTGGGAAACTACACGTGCCTTCGTATGCCCTCGCTAAACACGTAGAATCTACAGGCCACTGAACTGACTAGCCAAGTGCGCGTGTTCTGGCCAAAGAAAAGCTTGCATCATGCCTGCACCTTAAATACCAGGACATGCAGACAACTGCATATATGCTGAAAAGGAGTGATGGGACGCTTCCAACAATGTACTTCCAGTGATGTCATGTACTAAGGCTAAATTAAATAAGCTATGCCTTTCTTATGGCTTTTATTGAGAACAAAGCTCCCGTAGCGGGTGCCATAATGTCAGTAAACTTTGTATTTTGGTAGGTGTACCCTTTCGCGTCTTAACCTACAAGCAACAGTAGGAGAAAGAATAAACTTTATCATCAGAAACCAGCAGGTTTAGGTGGCTGGGTCTTGGCCTCCCATGAGGGGATGTCAAGGGTTCACCTCGACGACGCCTCACGGGCGTGCTGTGTCGCCCACGTTTGGTCGTCGAGAGCGGGGCTCCACAGAGCCTCATGAAGCTTCAACGAAAGGGTTGTGGTGTTAGTGCCCTGCTTTTTTTTCACACATCTTGCTATTCACTGTAGTTGCAGCTGAAGGTGTGGCGTCTTAAGCTTTCATCAATGGTAATGTTTATTTTTGTTACTTTTGCACAGACTGTCGTCAGTTTCTATGACCAGGCCAGATTTTTCAGAAATTCCCCGATTTTTTTCCTGACTTTTCCAGAAGGATTGGAATTCCCTGACTTTCCCATGTTTTCCAGGTTGGTAGACACGCTGACAAGATACCACTGCTGGAATAATGTATAGTTGACTAATTTTTTATATGTTGGTGCACAGATCACTTTTCAAGTCATACTGAGTTGATGCATGTTGTTCACAAGGTCGAGATGGGAACCACATTGGCCACTGAGTAGCAGCAGCTTCACACAACTTCCAAAAGTGCCCAAACTGCTCCGATTTCGATACTGTTTACCCCTATCTCATTTCCCATGCAAGCTGATTTTGATGATGGCCAATGAAAATGCATCTATTAAAATTAAGGGGAACCCACACACCTAGCATTGAGACAACAGAAAGCCTCTAACTGAATGTTCATTAGGTTACAGCTGTGCTCATGTAATTTGCCGTTAAAGGAGCTCTAACACTTTTTCAAGTAATCTGTGAATGACTTCCCTATACTAGACTTTACTGCCTCATGAAATGGTTGCTGGAAAAATTTTTCAGACCAGTCTAGGACAACCAGAGTTACAGAGATTTGTCACATGCTCCAAGTATGTTTAATTTCTTCTCGAGCATGCTGGACACTTCCCAACGAAAAAGCAGAGGACAGAGAGGTCAAGGACAAGCAGAGTTACAGGAATTAGTAGCATGCTCCAAGCATGTTACCTTCCTTCTCACAAGCATACTGGAAGGCACACAAAGGGGATCACAAAGGGGCTAGAAACTACATCAGTGTGCATTATGACCTTGAGCATTTGGTTTTCTTTCCCTCTTTTTTGTTCACGTGTTCAGATGCTTCTGGTATGACAATGAGCACACCTACAATATGCATCAGTAAGGTGCGTTGACAGTGGGCTAAGTAGGAGATGAGTGAATGATTTATGCCCCTAGGGTTTAAAATAGTACAAGTGTATATGCTAGCTGCATAAATTTAGGAGAACACAAAACAATGTGCATATTGTAAGGTGTGGCCAGAAGTACTGATACAGTTGCGGTATTCTGTATTTCTAAAGAAATACATGTGCATTGTTTACTTATTGAAATCAAAATGAACACTACAAATATTAGAATGTTTCATAATATCTGCTGTTGCATCTTTACAATGCCCTTCCACGGTGACTATAAGTTAATGTCTCGGGAAGTCAAGTGAAATGTTGAATGCTGTGTTAAAAGCACATGTGCAAAGATTTGCTGAAACATGGCGAAAGCACAGTGAACACGAGGGCAAGTTGGCCCTAGCATGATGAACTAATTCAAATGGTCTCTGCTCATACACTCGACACTTACGACAACTTCAATTATGAAAAACAAGATAGTTTTTGCCTCCAAATCTGAGGCTTGTGAAGCTTGCGAGGTTCCTCCACTGGGGTACGAATTAATTTATTTTTCTTTTCAAAAAGAAACTAAGCGTGAACACGACAGCACCCACGCATCAGAGACCACTAATGCACAATGCCATTTCTTTCTCCTTTATGTGCTGATCTATCTGCATAGTCTACACAAAGAAGAAGAATAAAAGATTAATGTCCCAAAACCACTATATGATTATGAGAGAAGAGTGGAGGGCTCCAGTGGAGAGCCCTCCGTAGTGGAGGGCTCTGGAAATTTCGACCACCTGCGGTTCTTTAATGTGCACCCAAATATGAGCACACGGGCCAACAACATTTTTGCCTCTATCGAAAACGCAGCCACCGCAGCTGGGATTCAATCCCTCAACCTGCGGGTCAGCAGCTGAGTACCTTAGCCGCTAGACCACCGCGTCAGGGTGACAATGCAAAAACTAGGCCCATAGCGTTTATTAGTTTAAGTATCACCAGCTATTTTCCTGCATCATACAGATGACAGGCACCAGTGTCTCACAAAAGTAGGAAAAACTTGGGGCAATGTACACAACATACACAGATAGGCGTGTATACATGTTCAGCTACTTAAGTATGTTTCAACAAAAATATGGACAATGAATTTCACACATACTTGAGTGCAAATGGAATTCCCCCCCCCCATGGAAACAGACATGTATGCGACACCAAACAGAACCTTGCCCTGGAATCAATACATTACAGACACTGCCCCTTGCATTCTGAAAGTAGTAGCCCCATGCTGAAACCTACGGCAGTGAAATGCAGGCTAAAACTTACTTAACAGACATGAATGAATTACAATTGAACGCGTCTGTACGGGCGTTCGACACATCGGACGAACAAGAGCACCAACCGGCACCAACCAGGTTAGCGTTCTTTTCCGTCACCTGGGACAACAAGTTTAAGGCCGGAATCACCATCAGCGGCTACCTGGCAATTCGCACTATGCTCCCAGATTGCACACAATATTTGCACAAACGAAGCTAAGCGAGTGAATTCGCTTGCAATAATGTATTCGTGCCTTCATCATCTTACAGATCACTTTCATTTCGCCTCGAAATGTCATGTCATCAAAACCGAAAGGAACGTGCCGCTGTGAAACCCAGAGCAATGTCACTAGCTCGAAGCTTAGAAAGGGTGACGGGAGTCTGCGTACGCGGCTGGAATACATGTAAAACGCGAGGTGTAGCGATCGCGACATCTTGACGGCGTAAATAGCGCAATCCGCTCGAACCGCAACACCACTTTCCTCGTCAACAATCGATACACTCACAATACACACGCACATTCTGCGAGGTAGTATACGCGCACAGCTACCTAGAGAGTGCATCTAAGAAAACACCACACTGTTACAAATATATGAGAGCAAAGGACACACATGAAATACACTCAACAAGTTCGCATAAGTTTAGAGTCGTCTTTCTCTCAACTTAAGCCTACCTGGCTCTGTGGGCTACGATGCGAACAGTACTTACAAGGCTTGGGCCGGGATCGTGGAGTGTGCTGGGGGCTTGAAAAGTTCAAGTTGAGATCACGAGGTAGTTTGTCTTTCTTCTTTGCGTCATTTTCCGCACGAAGTCTAGCTTGCAGTTCCGCAAGCTTATTCTGAAACGACGCCATGGTCGCCATTCTGAACAGTTTCTGTATTTTTTAGATGCCGCCAGTGCGTACTTTCATAAAGCCAACTGTAGCACTTGAACATAATACAACATCTAGAAAAGTAACTTTACTTCAAATATAACTTAATTCTGTGATTTAAAAGAACACTAAAAAGAGTATATTGCATAAAAAATGTCACAGAAATGTCACGACAAAACGCCGCAGGGGCCGCAGGCATGCCGATCCACTGGCCGATCGTACCCGAAACTGCGATACATATGCGAAAGCAGATTGTTCCTCAAAACGTAAACCTGAGAATAGCTCTGTAGTGTATAGGAGTGGTTGTGTCTGTTAAGACGTGCGGTTTGAACGTGCTGCAGTTTTACCGTCCTCAGTGTGTTGGCATGCGCACGGATTCAGCGCTAAAACATGGTTCAATGTGTGGTTAACAAACCACGTGGTGTGTAAGCAGTGACGCAACACGCGGAAGATCGTTACAGAGGTGGCAGATACGTGAAAAAGTAATGGAGATATTGCATAGATGTTCTGTGGTGGAGCTCTTCGATTCTAGATTTACGGGTAATCACATTTCGACGATTATGTGTGTCGCCTCCCAGAAATGTAGCTACCGTAACCATGCTCCGTGCTACACCAGCTACACAGAGTGAACAAGATCCGTTTTGACGTCGTGCAGTGGGGCAATAGCACACGAGGCCGCGATAAGAGATAAGGGGCGAGGTGGCGTAGGGAGATTGAAGGAATGTGGCGTTGCTGGCTCGTTAACATTGTGTGGTGAGAGCAGCTAGCACCGTCAGCAGACGACGGTCGTCCTAGGCCGCGGCTATCATCTGGTTCGCAGGAAGGCAGATTTAGCTCAGGTGCACCGGTTTTGCTGTGTCACTTCTGGATGTACTAAGAAAATCGAAACAAGTCGGATGTTGCACTAGCCTACCAAACTCGGTTTTCCTGGTTCTACTCCGATGCCCAGTGGGGAATGAGAAACCTGCTCCGCCGCCTAATGATGGTGAAACCGACCCAGGTTAGAACTGTCTGTGACCTTCCCGCCAAGCCGACACCAACTGTATCGCCTAAACGGTGTTATGAGGTGAGATCAACTGGTGGTCATACGGCGTCTGTGGTGTGCCACATTCAGCTTCACTTTCGAAAAGGGGACGCGCAACTACAGGTCGCGAATAACGGCAGCTGCGCCTGTTCGCCGTGCTGCCGAAAGTAAAAATTTCATTAGAACGGTAGCTTCCGACTCGTGGTGTGGAAGCGATTCTTTTGTCTTCTTGCATTTCTTCACTTATTGGTCGAAGTGAGCCGCGGATAGTTTTCGTGGTACATATACTTGTTTAAAATGTGTCTGAATCCGTTTTCCAAACGTAACCTGCGGTAACTGTAGCATGGCATAGATGCCATGCCATTATTCACTATTTCAAAGCTCATTGTTTTTTTTGGTTTCACTTAAAAAATTCTAACATTAACAACTAAAATTTTCAGAAACGTATACAGTATTCTTTTCTAATTGTTTATAATATGCTATTTACATTCTATTTTAAACGAGTACATTTTAAAATGGTATAATGCTTTAGAACCATACCATACCAGCTCATGGCAGCTTATTGAAGCAACCAGAAAACAGCCCGAACTCAAAGTTTATGAAGTTACTGACTTGGATTACTGACTTGACAATACAACCTTCATTTTGACATTGCCAAAATTGAAAACCAGTGTCCAGGACTGACATTACGCTACAGAAAAGGAAAAACAAAATAGTTTGGAGCGACCTCCAAAACTGATTTAGTTTTTCTTTTTACTGTTCCTGTAATTGAAAACTGTGCTTTTGTCCTTGTGACAGACCTCCTTTCTGTGGCTTTTAGTGTGCTGCTTGTTATGGCATCCATTGCCCCCTCTTCATCATGGGTTTATTGCTGTCTGTGTGTGATGGCATGACACTGCAGCTTTGTTTAACTTAATGCTGCTTTAGTAGAAATGTGGTTGTTTGGCTGCCACTGAGCCAAAAGTAAACTCAAATGTTTAAAGGGACACTAAAGGCAAATAACAATTTTTGTCAGAGTGAACGCTCACTGTTCAAAATGTCTAAAACAACAATATTATCAACAGCAGTGCCTTGCTTGCCGAGAAGTTAAGCTAAGTGTATCACACGACCTGTGCCAGGAGTGAGACATTTTGGAAACGATACCATTGACGTGAGAGCGTCTGACTACAATTTATAACTAGTGATCAAACTGGCTGCAATAAAAAAAGTACCTTCCGTGCATCAAGAGTTGTAATAAAATACTGCTTGTCTGTTTCTGTTTGATTGCGCGAGTGGTTCAAAAGTCCCGCTATCGCCCGGTTAGGCTGGATAGGTTGTGCCATTCAGTGTGGCCCGGTTGAACCAAGCAAGCAGAATATTGTTCAATGGTCGTTGTTGCTGCTGTGGCTCCCGCTACTTTTGTTGTGCTGCAACTATGTTGGCGATTGCGTAGTAAAGGCAGGCAATGTAAGCCTGGCAACAGTGACGTCGGAAAGATCACTTTCAGGCGGCTGTCTTGAACTGCACTAGTACGATGTGGACCTCTAAAAGAAAAATTTTTTGTCAAAATAAGTCTTCCCTTGACACAAAAGTAGTCATCATCATCATCAGCCTGACTACACCCACTGCAGGGCAAAGGCCTCTCCCATGATTCGCCAATCAACCCGGTCTTGTGCTTTCTGTTACCATGTTACACCCGCAAACTCTTTAATCTCATCCTACCACCTAACTTTCTGTCTCCCCCTTCGTGCGTTTGCCTTCTCTGGGAATCCAGTCTATAGTTACCCTTAATGACGAGTGGTTGTCCATGCCCATGTTCTATGTGTCCGTCCCATGTCCATTTCTTTTTCTTGATTTCAGCTATGGTATCTTTAACCCCGGTTCGTTCCCTGACCCACTCGGCTCTCATCTCGTCTCTTAAGCTTACACTCATCATATCCTTTTCCATCGCTCGCTGCGTCGTCCTCAATTTAAGCTGAACACTCTTTGTAAGCCTCCAGGTTGTTGCTCCGTAAGTAAGTGCTGGCAAGATGCAGCTGTTATATACCTTCCTCTTGAGAGTTAGTTGTAGATTACCATTCATGATTTGAGAATGCTTGCCGAATGTGATCCACCCCATCCTTATTCTCCTAGTTACTTCAGAGCCCCGCCGCGGTGGTCTAGTGGCTAAGGTACTCGGCTGCTGACCCGCAGGTCGTGGGTTCGATTCCCGGCTGCGGCGGCTGCATTTCCGATGGAGACGGAAATGTTAGAGGCCCGTGTACTCCGATTTGGGTGCACGTTAAAGAACCCCAGGTGGTCAAAATTTCCGGAGCCCTCCACTACGGCGTCTCTCATAATCAAATGGTGGTTTTGGCACGTTAAACCCCACAAATCAATCATCAAATCAATCTAGTTACTTCAGTCTCGTGGTTCGGCTCCGTGGTTATTACCTGTCCTAAGTAGACATATTCCTTTACAACTTCCAGTGTCTCTCCACCTATCGCAAAGTGCTGTTTTCTGCCGAGACTGCTGCACATTACTTTAGTTTTGTGCATATTAATTTCCAGACCTACTTTTCTGCTTTCCGTGTCCAGTTCAGTAATCATGAGCTGTAATTTGTCCCCTGAGTTACTCGTCAAGGCAATGTCATCAGTGAATCGCTGGTTACTAAGATACCCTCTATTAACTCTTATTGCTAACTCTTCCAAATCCAGGGTCTTGAAAACCTCCTGTAAACATGCAGTGAATAACATTGGAGAGATTGTGTCTCCCTGGCTTACACCCATCTTTATTGGTATTCTGTCTTTATGGAGAACTATGGGGGCTGTGGATTCACTGCAGATTTCTTCCAGTGTGCTTACGTAGGGTTCTTCGATGCCCTGATTCTGTAGTGCTTGCATTACTGTTGATGTCTTGACTGAGTCAAGCGCCTTCTCGTAATCTATGAAAGCTATGTATAGGTGTTTGGTTGTATTCAGCGCATTTCTCTATTACCTGATTGATAATATGAATATGGTCTATTGTGTAGTAGCCGGTATGACATCCTGCTTGGCTCTTTGGTTGATTGAACTCTTATATCGCCTTAATTCTATTAGCTATTATATTAGTAAATAGTTTGTAGAGAACAGACGGTGAGCTGATAGGCCTGTAATTTTTCAAGTTCTTTACGTCTCCTGTCTTATGGATTAAGATGATGTTGGCACTCTTCTAAGGTTCTGGTACCCTTCCTGTCAGAAGGCACTTCGTATATAAGGTGGCTAATTTTTTTAATACAATTTCTCTGCCATATTTCAGGAGGTCCATTGTTGCCTTATCCTCAGCAGCGGCTTTGCCTCTTTGCATTCTTTTTAGGGCTTTCTTTACTTCTCCTGTCGTTATTCATAGGATGTTGGATTCCTCTGGTCCATTATTGTATCATCTTGGTTCTTGTGACTTCTGTACAACTCCCTGTAGAACTACTCCACCATCTCGACTGTACTATTCATATTGGTTATTGCATTGCCTTCCTTGTTCCTCAGTGCATACATCCGATTTTTGCCTATGCAAAAGTCTGCCTTCGCAACTTAGACTTCTGCCGATTCTTATAGCCTGCACAATTCTTTTCATGTTATACCTCCTGGTGTCGGCTACCTTACGTCTATTGGCTAACTTCAAAAGCTCCACGAGCTTATTTAGTAGTACTACGAGGTACAAAAGTAGTACTACGAGGTTTCTGGACTGCTAATTCATCAATCAAGGTCGACCTAGTATTTGTCTTTAGTGTCCCTTTAAAAGTTTAAGCTAGCTTCACAGCAATTACACTGACATACCTTTATAAAGAAGGTTTAGATCATCACTTGGATATGGCTTAATATGGATATTGAAAATAACAAAGCTGAGCTCTTATTGGCATTTGTAGTTTCACTTTTTTGTGTGTGTGTCCGGGTTTGCTCGTCCTCTCCTTTAGAATGGACACTTACATTTTTAAGAGAGAGCACATGAACGAAAAGAGGGAAATGAATCAAGGGGCCTATTTTTGTCACGCAACCACTTGAAACCAAGAAAGTTCAAGGGAGCATTATGAGATGGCAGGAAAACTATTTAATGAAGACAAAAATGTAACTTATTTCCACTAGTTAGGGCTGAACCCATAACCTTTCACTGTACATGTGGGGAAACATGTTTGGGCCCTTTACTGTGAACAAGGCTCTCATATTGGAGCTCAAACACCTTGTTTTTATTTACTTTTATCAATTGGTAAACATGTTGCTTTAATTGTATTTATACATGTAGCACAAAAGCCCTTAGTTATTGTCTCCATGTTCTTTTTCTTGGTTATTCTGTATGTGTAACCCTTGGTTTTGTTGGTGGCACTCTTGGCCATGGTGAAAAATGTGGAACATTAATGTTGGTACATCACGTTTGTGGAATAGGGCACACTTAGACAGGGACAGAGTAAGCAACATGACCCCAGCGCAAACTATCAACAAATGTTTGTCAATTGTTAGTGCTCGTGTCGAGTTGCTTATTCTGTTCGTGTCTAAGTGTGCACTGTTCCTCACACACAATTAAAACTGGAATTTACTTGGCACACATATATTGATTAGCCTGTTCGCTTGGTGCTGATAGACTCAGGCTCCAGTTATTATTGTTGGATTGCTACTTATGAGCAAATAATAAATGTAAGAATAAAATGTCTTTGCTTTGGAGCATAACTACTTGATTCTTATTTTAAACTTCACAAGTATTTGCAGGGGCAATTATTTATGATCACTAGGTTTATCAAAGTTCTTAACCTTTGTTTTTAACAAACTGTCTGTGAATAAAGACTCTGCAACATAGCATAAAAAATGGAATGCATTTAATAATTTGAGTCTTGCATGGAAGGAGGCAAAATAACCAGATCAACTGTCCACTACTTATTCATTGTTATTCATTGGTAGACAAATATTTGCCAAGTGCATATGCTAGTTTTCCAGTGTCTTGTAATTGTTAGCTGTCCATATTATGTCCATTGCAGGTGGACAGCCTCTCCTAACGATCTGCAGTTAACCCCATCTCGTATGAGCTGGTTTCATGTGGTCCCTTTTAACTTACTTTTGTCATTCCATTAAATTCACTCCTGTCTTTGCTGTGCTTCCCATCGCTTTATATTTTTTGCACTACTCTAACTTGACGCTTATTACCAGTCCTACGCATTATGAACTGGCGCTCTTTGGCCATGAAATGGCCCTTGCGCCACAAAACATCAAACATCGTCATCAGTCCTACGCATTACATGGCCTGTCCAGACCCTTTCCTTTTTTTTTTTTTTTTGTTGGTGTCAATTGTAAGATTGGTTTCCCCTATTTGTTCTTTTATTCACCATGTTCTCTTCCTACTTCTTAATGTTATGCTTTTCATTCCCTGTTCCATCGCACACAGGTGGTCTTTGACGTTTTTTCAAGTGATTTCGTTATCCTCCTAATTTCTGCCCAGTATGTTAGAATTCGTAGTATGCAATGGTTGTGGACATTTTGCTTTAGGTACAGCAGAAGGTTGCTTGTCATGATCTGGTAATGCCTGCTGTGTGTGCTACTGCCCATCCTAGTTGTTTGTGGATTTAAATTTATTTTTTATGAATAGGGTGCTCTATAACAGTTGATCGGTATGTGTGACCTTTTTTTTTTAGTTGAGGTTGTTGAGCATTGCCTTTGTCTTCAGAATATTCATGTTTAGCCCCACTTTCATATTTTCTGTGTTTGTGTTCAATTATTTGTTAGTTTGCCAATGTCAGGATAAATGTACTTATAAATTAGGCTTATTTCTGTCATCCCTTCCCCATTTTTTTCTCTTTTATCTTCCTTTCTTGTGCTTTTCAGATTGTCCTGTTTCGTGAGGTAGTTGGGCATTGTGTCCTTTCTGGAGGCTGTGGCTATTCATCCCTGTGTACAGAGCAGACTACAATAATCAATAATGTAGTTATGTCACGAAGTTAGTTGTAGCACATGTATACTGTATGTCTAATGCACAACTTGTCAAGGAAGTAAAATGGGGTGGGTAAAAGCATACAAAAGAACCCACCTGGACTGAAGGATTTTTGGGCTTACTGAGTTGTGCTTCCCATGGCCAACCAAAGAGCCACTTTGGTGAGATACTATTAAAGCTTGTGTGGCATGAACTAGTAATACGTGAGAAGCTCTTATATACATGATAAAAACATGATGTGTAAAAAGTAAAGAAAACTGAACAGCTTCTTCAGTGCTATATTCAAATGTGCATTTCAGGATGCAGTGTATGCCCTCAATAACCTCCAGAGTAATGAAGCTACGCTGAAAAAATCGATGCAGTACCCGACCAGTGCGTTTCTCAAATCAAGACTAATGCCTGAGCATCTTCAAGCAGTTGGCCTAAAGGTAATGATATGAGCTGACTGTTTTTTGGTGCAGTATAAAAGATGCATACTTTTGTTTAATGGCATAGGTATCAGATCTTGATGACCTCAAGGTAATCCATGTGGCTGGAACAAAAGGAAAAGGATCAACGTGCGCTTTTGCTGAAAGTATTCTCAGACATCATGGCTTTAAAACGGGACTCTACACGTAAGTGGGGATGTCTACTCATGATATCTTGGTTCTGGCAATATTCCTTAAGTGTCTCTGTATGAAATGAACTAATGACTGATGCAAGTGGCAAATGCTATAGAAACTTTGATGAGTCAATTTGACTTCTACCCATGGCGCTTCTCAATTGTTTGTGTCAACTTGCATTTAACTTTCATTACAACATATATTGACTGTAGTCGCTCATGCTTGTAGTGTTGCAACTGGCTTTGAAACTCTCCATTTTTTGGTTATTCTACCTTGTTACTATGCAAGCCTTAGCAACTCTCAATTTACAGATATATACTGTGTGCGTTAGGACTATTGCACCTTATTTTGTATGCATTTGCGAAGTCTCCGCGTAATTTGCGCACCCCTTTTCTCGGAGCCTCCAAATCACGAAAACAAAGCAGAAACTGCGAATAAGTACGATAGTATGACTACTATTGGTGGTTTGAAAGTTGAGCACGACTCATTTAGAAAAAAAAAATTGTTTGGAACCAGTATTTTCCTCTAGACAATGCAAACATGTTTTACAGTGTACTATTACCATACTCTCGGCACATGGTCTGAGGGCTCTACATGGCTGGTGCATTGTATTATCAAGGGAGAGAGAGGTATCATGTGCTGGAAATGGGAAAATGCAAAAATATGGCTGGTGCATTGTATTGTCAAGGGAGAGAGAGGTATGTGCTGGAAACGGGAAAATGCAAAAATTTGTTTTACATGCAGTGTGAAATACTGTTAACCTTTTCCCTACCATGAAAAACAAGTAGTCTATAAAATTCAGTGGAATTTTTTTCCACCACTCAATTTGTGGACTATTTTTTTTTTCGGAATAAAACGATACCATTCTTTCAATTCAGTGGGATTCCTTTATTTCACTAATTACATGAAAAGATAACTCAAAGATGGCTTCAATGCATACAATGAAAAATGGCAATGAAATGAAAGCCAATACACAAATGGCACAATATGGACAGGTGTGACCATCTGGCATCCCAACAGTGATGAGCAACTGGGACCAATTTTGTTGTTAACGAGTATAGACACCAGTTATTTTAGTAAAAAACTTTGACATCTATACTTGTAAAATAGAGGGAAAGGGCTATTATTAATTGGAGGCCTGATTTCTATTTCTACAGGCATTCATAAAGGAACATTCTCTTTGCTCTATCAATTCATGTCACATTGCAGTGTCAAGAAATATAGCATTTGACTTTCCCAAGTTGTACACAAAAATTTGTAATTCTACCAACATGTATGAGAGGACGACTAAACGAAAAATAAATGTTTAGATCCCTAAAAAACTCTCCCAGCCAAGGATGCCCATCCACAAACCCACACCTACATTTGTTAAAAAAATTTAATGAAATGTCGTCCGGATGTGAAAAGCTGCTTTTTTTTCTGATTAGATTGCACAGTGAATGAGCTCACAGAGAAGTACATGGGCCTTTTTATTCTGAAGAGTTTTGTGTGAATAACACTTCCTAATCACCTGCTCAAGATAAAATAAGAATACGTATGTCTTAGTTATGCTACACTGACCAACACTTCTATACTTATTTAACGTCAAGTTCCAATGTATGGGGGAGTCAGTGGATGACAATTTTAATTTGTTTTCATGAAGCTTTAGAGTGCAGCTAACTTGCACAATTCAGTGTACTACTGCCGTTTATATGCTTCCAGCTGCTGGTGATATTTATAAAATAATGCTTATCTGCTTTTGCTAGTCGCACAGTTACAAATTCTCATTTATTTGTACGGCTAGCTAGCACGAACTTTTCTGCTAAGTTATGCACAATTTTTATCTTTTTTGATGATTGTTTTGTACTTTACTGTATGTTGTTCGTTATTGACAAATGATTGTAAACTGATATAATGTTACTATAAGTGATCTAAAGATGCTTGATAAGATATATCATCATGTATAAGATTTTATTGTGTGAAAAATTGTAAGGGCTGGTGTGCAGCTTTAAAAAAATATGTATTTTTTGCTAGGGTGGTCAGTGAGGAATACACATGTATATGCTGGCATATAGTTTATTGGATGAGATATTCTTTTGTAGAAGTCTTAATGGTAAATGTTTCGTTATTCTTTCATAACTATTCATAATTGTTTTGTCGATAAGCAGATTTGTGTAAATGTATGATTGGGCATTACTTAAATAACAAAAAAAAAAAAAAACTTGCTGAAAAGAAGGCTGTGTATCGTATATGTCACTTGACTATTTTTACATTTTTCCCATGACAGCTCTCCTCATCTCGTGGCAGTTCGAGAAAGGATCAGAATAAATGGGAAACCACTGTCCGAAGCTGCTTTTGCAAAGTACTTCTGGGATGTTTACCATAACCTAAAAGCCAAGGTTTGTAGTTTGCTCATTTAAGATTCTAAAGCAGTTGCAATGTTGCGTTAATCTGGCCTAACATTCTTTACTTAATTAGGAGGGACTGGACATTCCAGCCTATTTTCAATTCTTGACTGTGATGGCATTTAAGGTATTCATCATGGAAAAAGTAAGTGCGTGTTAGTGCTGCTCAGTCTGCCTACATGTTGATCCTGATGCACGTTTGAATTTTCTTTTTAGGTTGATGTGTTGGTGCTTGAAGTAGGTGTTGGTGGCGAATATGATTGTACTAATGTAATAAGGTAAGAAAGTGTTTGCAAACACTGTAACTGTTATTGCTCTAGCTTGCTACAGCCGGTTTCGAATTCAGGTTCATGTAGTCAAACTGTTCTTTAGTTAGACTAATTATGAATTAAGTATCGGGAGCCAAAGTGTGTGCTTTCTGAACCTTACATCATTGCACACTTTATAAAAAAGGCAATTGAAAATATGCATACATATTTAATCTAAATATATGTGAATTCTTATAACTTCAGGCTAGTCATTTACAGGGACAAAAAGCTAAAAGCAGCTTGAAATTCGTTTGAAAGCGCTCACCAGCCTATGCATTGCAGTATGCAAGTAATGACAAAAAAAAAAGGTTTTACTTCAGCTCTGCAGATTGTTTTGAGGCTCTGTTTCCGGAGGTACCACTGTTCTTAAGCACTGCAAGTTAGCCAAGCATGCATATTAACTTGAGCGGTGTTCTGATAAACGAGGGCAAAGTTGCAGACTACAGCATACAAGTGTATAGATAATGCTCTACAAGGCACAGTAACTGCTGCTTGCGCTTCCTGAACCTTTCATTTTTAGTGCACAATGGATGGCTGATCTACAAGCCTACGAGTTCTAGCAATGGCATATTATGAACATTTTGCACACCTGGTGACTGGCAATTGGAGCTCTTGTTTTGCAGTTGTCGTAATCTACAAGATTTATACATTGTCATGTCATTTTCATGCTTCTTTGTGTCAGGCATCCTACTGTGGTTGGCATCACATCCCTGGGTTTAGATCATACACGTTTGCTAGGCTCAAGCCTGCAGGAAATTGCTTGGCAAAAAAGTGGCATTTTCAAGAAGGGCTGTCCAGCATTTTCACTTCCCCAGCCAGAGGGAGCATTTCAGGTGCTCCAGGAGAGGGCACAGGAGAGGGAGGTGAGCAGTGTAGTGCCATTTAACCTTCGTATAGATACTGTGGCCACTGCAATAGTTGTGCAGTAGCTGCTTGCTGGTAAAGGTGACTTGTTGCTGTAATGGACACGATCAGATTTGTGCAACCACATCTAACTGCTGGCTGTATCATCACTCTTTATTAAACTTCGGTTGTATCACTCTGCGTTACCTAAGGGAAGATGAGAATTGAAAAACTCAAAATTTTCCCAATATTACATATTTTTCATTTTTATTTACTTTCACAAGTTTAATTTCTATACTTTCACAACAAAAAAATGAAAATTTTAATGAATCTCAAATTAAGTTAAAATAGCTTTTAAAGTGCACAAGGTGGCTACCAAAATCTAAAAAGTGCTCATTTTCTAGAGTCTTGGAAATTGTGACCTGCCTGATTGCCTTTGCATGAGTTCACTAAAGTCACATGCTCAAAATAACTATGGTTGCCAAGCTCTGATGATAGAAGAAATCACATGAGAAACGTATATTTGCCCCATAGGTGAACTGTAACTTATACCTTTACAATGCATTCTTCTCTGCATCTCTCATAATCATATGGTGATTTTGGGACGTTAAACCCCACAAATCAATCAATCTTCTCAAGATCAATTTTTGGGCAACTTCTTAGGATTAGATGTCTTGTTTTTGGTACTTCTGATAGCCGGATCAGCAAGAAATTTTGCCCAGATATTTCTTAACATGTGAAGGGTGCAAGTTTCTCCTTCATATCTTGATATCACCTGTGTAATTATTATGAAGCTAAATCAAGCAGTTAGTATGGGCTGATAATTCTAGAAATTTTCACATTAAAATTTTTCTTGTCCATTAAAATGTCTTATACACACTTTTTAGTAGTTATTTACATTATGCAGTTAATGAGGAGCAATATGAGCCATTGTTGGGTTAGAACCATAAAAGTTCGATGGCATTAAATTGTTGTCCCAAATGAACTATATTTTACACATTGTGATGGCACAAAATGAAAACTGTGAAGCTTACTACAAATCTAATTACATATTTGAAATCAGCATAAAAGCCAAAAGAGCAAAAAAGTTTATTGCCCTAGTCTATAGATTCACTAAACTTCTTTTTCGAATTGCATCTCCCCTAACTAATGGTGTGCACCATTTTCTCGTTTTTTTTAGGTGAAATAAAGAGTATTTTACTCCTTATGTGGAAATTTGTTGATCGAAGCATTTTTTTCTGAAGTGCATGTGGTTAAAGGTGTCCTTCAAGTACTGCAAGGAACACTTGACTTATGATGGTTCATGAAAGTCAGATGCATGAGCATTGTTGAAATTCCATTAATTTGTTGGTGCGACTTACTCTGCCAGCCAATTCATATAATTTAAAAGTTGTTTTTTGGAAAGTTAAGCTATTTTACTGTTAAACAGAATTTGCAGTTTAAATTATTCGCAAACTGCTTGAGGTGACAATATTTGCTTCAAGTTGGCTCACGTCAAATGTTTCAGTATGCAGATGAAGTTATGTAAAGGTGGCCGAAGCTCAATAAAATGTATTTCATGCATTTCAATATGAACACTGCTTTGAAGATCTACGTGGAAAACAGAAAAATTTCAATGTTACGAGTTTTGCTTACACCCTTCTTTCACTGCTGACAAGTAAGTTGTCTTGAAATTTTGCACCAATATAACACAATGAGTATAGTAATGGTAAACAAGAAATCTTCGTGCAATGAACTTTTAAGAAAAGTATTTTGCTGCTTTGGGTAAAGCCATTGTACAAACAATAAAAACTGGAATGTCTCTTGAGTGTGATCGTTTCAAAGACCATTTGCAGTCAGTTTTGAGGCATTTAGTAAGCATGGCATAGGATGTAATTTTGCATTTAAACTTATGCAGACTATATGTGATGGATGTGCGTAAGAAAAGCAGTGCAGGCATCGAGGGATTTTGCAGAGGTGTTTGACTGTACACCTCTTGTTGCACCTAGTCGCGATTGGTTTCTAGATGGCCACAGTGCTCCATGTGTTTTGAACGATGCCTCGCCTTTGTCTGCATTAGCACCTCTGGCACCTGCCACATGGGAATGAAAGCACACACACGCAAAGTATTTTGACCACTCTCATCAGATGACAGCTCTGTAGAGTTTGGATGGAAACAAATATGTTTTCTGATTTGAAGACCGAAGGGAATGGTTCAGTGGGTAGACTGGAGTGAAGCCATGCAGTGAAGCCTTGTCCACGTTATCATTTCACACTATTTGAGAAATAGAGGAATGCTACTAAATTTAAAAGATGGGGCCATATTAGTCATAAGAGGAATAGAGGAATGCTACTAAATTTAAAAGATGGGGCCATATTAGTCATAAGAGGAAATACAGTTCTCTGAACTTGCCAAAAAAAGAAAAAAAAATTGGTATATTTGGTACATTTTCATATTTCATGGTACGAAACATTAACGTAGATGAAATATTGTGCCAGCATTTTGAAAGTTAGTGTGAAATGTCTTATTTGAGCCCATCTTGCTGGGTCATGCCCTGCAATCTTTGAAAACATCTAAGTTATAGTCTATAGTGTGACAAAATTGGGAGAGTATGTCCCATACTTCCTTTGTCATGGTGATATCTCTGCTTATCAGCACATGAGTTACAGCCTTATCTTTGAGGACCTTCATATCTGTTCTAGTTTCTTGCATGTATCCAGGTTAATGCAACATTCTGTCTTCTGTGTTGTTTTCAAAGTAGTGATCCTGTAGCCTTTTCATTATTTTTTTTTTTACTGTTTTTCACTGAAACTTCATTATAACAAAAATGAATATTACAGAAAAATGAGTTTGTGATATAAAAATTTATTATGTTATTTCTAACACTGTATCTATTGCAAGTCTATTATTTGTTTACTGGGTTATAATAGATATTTTGTTATATCTGAGTTCATTCTATTGAGGTTTGAGTGTACATCATTTTTCCAGTTGACTTGTGTGAAATTGTTTTCTTTAAGCAGTGGTTACATTAGCAGTGTCTTTAGCCAGCACTATGTCATTCTTGGAGTTGTTGGTGGCTCTTCAAACTTTAGCTGTGTTGCCTTTCAAGAGGATATGCGAATAAAAAAAACGCAAGTTTTTTGCAGAATTACATAATTACATACTACTTCCAAAATTACATACCTGTCAGATTTTATTTGCAATAAGAACCTTTGTTTCTTTACTTTCATGTAAAAAAAATTTAAAGATTGTAATTAAACTTAAAGTAGGTTAAAATGTCTTTTAAAGAGCATAAGGTGACTACTAAAAACTCAAAGGAGCTCATTGTATAGTCGCCCCCGGAAACTGCCACCTGGCTGCTTGCCGTAGCATTTTGCATGAGGAGTTCACTAAAGCCACATGCTCAAAACTATCATGATTACCGAGCTCTCATGATAGAAAGAAGCATCTTAAAAAATGTATCTTTTTCGTACATGTAAGTTTTTGCTTATACGTACCTTTAAAATGTGTTTTTCTCAAGATCCATTCTTGGGCAATTTCTTGAGTATGGACATCATGTTTTTGGTACTTCTGATAGCCCGATCGGGCTGAAGCCATACCCACATATTTCTTAGCATATGAAGGGTGCAAGCATCTTGCTTAAAACTTGACATAGACTGTATAATTATTATGAACCTAAGATTTCTTGCACTACAATTTTTCTCGTCCATTAAAATGTCTTATATGCACTTTCTTGATAGTTATTTGCATTCTCAAGTTAATGTATAGCAATATGAGCAATTCATGGCTCAGAACCGTAAAAATTTAGTGGCCTGAAAAGTTTGTCCAATACAAACTATACTTTACACATTGTCATGGCACAAAACAAAAACCATGCAACTTACTATAAAACTAGTTGCGTATCTGAAATCAGCGTAAAAGCTTATACATGCAGTAAAAATTTAATTGTCCCTGGCTACAGATTAACCAAAAACGAAATTTTTTTTTTTCCTAATAGCACCTCCCTTTCATGAAATACTATCTCACTTGTTTGGGCATAGTCATTGTAGCAACAAAAGAAACTAGAATGCTTCTGGCATGTGATAGTTTCAAAGGCTTTGTGCAATAAGTTTTCAAGCGGTATGTAATAGTGGTATGTAATTATGGCATAGGATATCATTTTGCATTTTAACCTATGCAAGCTATGTGTGATGGATGTGCAAAAGAAAAGCAGTGCAGACATAGAGGGATTATGCGGGGGTGCTTTACCAAATGCCCATAGAATGAATATACACATGAAGAAGTAAACATTCTTTAAATACTTGAGTGTTTCCAGGTGCCAGGCTACTCAGAACTGGCTCGATATTCTCGTATAGATTAAAGGACTAGAGCTTCTTTACAACTAGTGCTACTTGGAAATGTTTTTCACTGGGGAAGAGTTTGTAGAAACGTGGTTTAGACTTTGTATTTTTATTTCTGGATTTTCGCAGTGTTCACTCAGCTTGGCACCTCCACTTTTGACATATGAATGCGAGTCACCACTTCTGCAACTGGGAATACCTGGGGAGCCACAGCATGCAAATGCATCACTTGCATTGCAGTTGTGCAAGACCTGGCTTTCAAAGCACTGCTCATCTAGTTCCGCAGCGAGTAAGTTAGAAGAATGAGGTGCTAACAAGTATTGCTCGTTAGCCGAGGCTTAAATTCACAATTTTTTTCACCTCTCCTCAACAGAAAAACAAGTAGCAAGAGATGCTGCTCAACGAAAGTGGCTGCATGACCAGAATTTACCTTTTATTGTTCCTCCTTTCACCATATCAAAGTTAATGGCCAAAGGTGAGCAAATGCTGCTTAGTTTCCTGGCATGTTAGTGTTGTCTCTTTCCAAAAGGGCTGCTCTTTATGTGACAAAGCTGTATTCTGCAAAGCATATTTCAGTTCATGAAAGCAGAGAAATGTACCAGGAACAGGAACTGTAAATTGTGCATCAAAATTGGAGTGGCAAACAGTTTTTTTTTATTTCTATAACCCCTTCATTCATCATGCAGTTAACCTTGCCCAGTGGACATAATTACACTTGTGCTTGACATGTTGGAAATTTAGGATATTCGTTATGGCATTTGGCCTTTTGGTTACATTTTGTTTACCGGTAACGTCTTAGAGGAAAAGACCCTAACACTTGCTAAAGGAAGAGGTTCTCTGCTTAGAGGAAAATGGATGGTAAATTCTATGTTATCACATTGTAATCCATGTTTACTCCAATGTAGTAGACCCTCAAATCTAATGCCTCGTATTTGCATGTTCAAAACATGCTGACAAAAATGTGCCTGAATGTAATGCTACCCATTGTTTTAGGAGAAAACTCGTGGATGTCACATTGTTTACAATTGAAAAAAAAATGTATAAGCACAGTCTGCTTTCATTGCATGGAAAATGTATTCTCCTCACAGTTCTTTTTCTTCTGTGATAAGCCTATTTGGGTTTTTAAAATAACTTTTTCTTGGCCTTGATCATATACTATTTGGAGAATCTTGATGTACAATGAGTTGATTACAAAAGTTTTCTGGATTTTTTTTGAGATCCATACATTTTTCTCTTTTCACCCTATTGATAATTTTATTTCAACAAGCCAGAGTTTTAATGTCCTGTTAGAAACATACACGCCTCTTTGCATTTTTAACTTTCTGGATAATAACTGTGGGCTGACTGTTTACAGGTCTTGAGCAGTGCCGATGGCCTGGTAGGTGTCAAATAGTTCCTGCTGGACAAGGCATGACACTGTACTTGGATGGGGCGCACACAGAGGAATCTGTGCACTATTGTGTACGCTGGTGGCGGGAAGCTGCAGCATCTGAACAATGTGCTTTGGGCGCGAATGTTCAGGTTCACCGTGTGCTTCTGTTCAACTGTATGGGGGACCGCCGGCCCGAGGTTCTGCTCTCTTATCTCGCAGAGGAGCCCTTTCATGTAGCACTGTTCACACCTAACCGCCTCACTGTAAGCAAGAGCCCATACTCGGATCAGAGTGACTTTACTGTGGAGAAGTGCACAGAGACGGCCAGATGCAAATCCAACATGCGCATCTGGTGTCACTTACTGTCAAGCCTTCAAGAAGAAGAGATGCTTGGTGTAGGCAGCCCTACATCTCCACCAAGCCTCAAAGGGAACCCTGAAGACTCTTGCATTGTGTTTTTCTGCATCTCTGATGTCATGGCCTGGCTCCAGGAGCAGCAAGTGGCTGCCCAGCAATTGACACCTCCTTGCCACATACAGGTAGGTTCTCTTTCACTGTTAGTTAGTAGTGACTTCTTTTTGTCCTATGTATATTTAATAGACTGTGTGCGGTTATGTTTCCAATCTTTTGGTATCCATTCCATGGCCCTTACTATCAGTTATCTATTCATTGCATTACTCGTCTTGTACAGGGCCACTGTTTTCTTTACACGTCAGCAAATGTCTGTTGCTCCTGTTTATTGTTTAATTCACTATGTTCATTTCCTCTCTCTCAATGTTAAGCCTATCATTTTTCTTTCCATTACACACTGTGTAGTCCTCAACTTTCTTGCCCTTCAAGTTTCTTGCCCTGTGCTACTACCAGCAATATGAAGTATTTGTACACTTTCTGCTATAGGAGCAGTGGTAAATTGTCTTTTGGAATGTCTGGTGAGATCACAGCATGCCAGCCTCCTTCTGTGGTGAATTTCCTGGCCATGAAAGGCTCTCTGTCAATAATTGAACTAGATATATTATTGTACAGATACTAGGTCCCAAACATAAATTTCCAATTCTCGTTCTTTCACTGGGCATCCTAACAGTATCTTTGCTTCAACAGAATTGAAAATTCTTCACAGACACAAACATTCTTTCGACAGACAGGCAGGACTTGAACCGGGAATAGACCTTTTTCAAGCAATCCCATAACACCCCGTGGGCGTGCGGAGCACTATGGGAAAAAGTTGTTAGGCCAAGAGAACTGGCTCTTCCTCCACCCGCTACTTGCTGGCGCCGTACGAGCAGAAAACGAAAGAAACATGCCGCCGCTTGTTGAATAGGGTCCGAATGCACCTGCATGTATATCTACGCATCAGATGTGAATTGAATAATGCAGTCGGTGTGGGTATCACTGCAATGCAGTCAGTGTGGGTATCACTGCACGGGTGTACATTGAACGCACAAGATGAGCGACATGCGAGTTGTTGCGTACAATTACACGTCAAAACATGCTGTCATGAGGAATGTGAGCTGGAACATTGAATTCTTAGTTATTCAATGATGAACTGCTCATAAACTGCTATGGCCTTTAATACCACCGCGGTTTGTAAGTGTCTCTGCGGAGCATGTTTGCTGGCAGTGTATTCCGCATTAAGTGAGACTACTATTGAATTTAACGTTGGCGCATTCAAATATTGTTCAACGAGGAATAATGATGTAGTTATGCTCAGCAAAGAAAAAAAAAAAAACTTGGGCACGTTACATGATCAATTGTTTCCAGCTACAAGAAGGCACAGTGTCCTGCCTTTAGCATGTTGCATCAGTTTGTGAACAGCTCATTCGAACTGCAAACTAAGATAAATTCAGACGACCTTCACCTGCAAAGAAGCTAGGGATACTGCAGTTATTGTATGCATACGTTCTTCACAGTCTCAAAGGCAGCTTTGAAGCGATACGAGGTGAACGTTAGGTTTTCCGCACCATAAGCTTAGTAACATTTCTTTCGTAGAGCGCAAAAGGACGCAGGGGTCTGCATTAGCCAGAGAAAAGTGCTATGAGAGGCACGCCAATTGTTCTTTGAATTGTTATGCAAGAGTTGCTAACCCAATTCCTCTTGTATTAACATATACAGGGTGTTTCGAGAAATGTGTCCAATATACTTTAAAAACTACAGAAAAGAGGTATCTGCATGCTACTTGCGGCGTTGCCTTTCTGTGGCAGAAGGCATCTTCAGATATATACAAACATTAATTATGGCAGTAATTATAGAAATGAACAAAATTAAGTTTTTAACCAGTGGTAATGCCAGTCGAGTCAAATGGGCAAATTCAAGCCCTTCCTACAAATAGTCCATAGCTACTTTGAAATTTTGGAAAAGCGGCCACTGGTAATCACTGTGGAGCGATGCAATCTGGCCAGTTTATCTGGCAAAACCAAAACCGACGCACCAACCAGTGCATCTACCATTCAATTCAATTCGCTATCGCTACAACACAAGAAACTCAACTTTACTAATAAACTGTAAACACGCGTCTCGGTTGTTAATCTTTTTGTACCTCTTTATGAGATGCGGGATGCACCCCCATTTTCTTATATATATTTGTTAATTTGTGCGATAACCTTTTAGTCGTGAGTGAGCGTTTCCAGTGTGCATATTTCTTTCTTGGTCTTTTTTTTTTTTTTTTGCCCTGAAGGCTTTATTCCAACCTGCAGTTGCCTCGCCGCGGTGGTCTAGTGGCTAAGGTGCTCGGCTGCTGACCCGCAGGTCGCGGGTTCAAATCCCGGCTGCGGCGGCTGCATTTCCGATGGAGGCGGAAATGTTGTAGGCCCATGTGCTGAGATTTGGGTGCACGTTAAAAAACCCCAGGTGGTCGAAATTTCCGAAGCCCTCCACTACGGCGTCTCTCATAATCATATGGTGGTTTTGGGACGTTAAACCCCACATATCAATCATCAAATTAATCCAACCTGCAGTTACAGCGCCAAGGGAAGTTGGTGATGCATATGCTGCGAGCGGCGTGCAGTGGTCTAGTCAATGCATTTTGTTGTTTGAAATTGCGCTTATTTCTAAAGCACTGTTTAAATATACCAGAACCATGCAATTTACTCATAAACAGCATCAAAAGACATTGATTCCTAATGTGTCCGTGAAATTGTTTACAGTGCTTGCAATCTTTAGGCAACCAAGTTGTGCTGCTTTTTCGTTATTTGTGCCAAAGGCATACTGACGCTAAAAACAATAATAATCAGCCGACGCTTCTGAGTCGCTCAGCTGGTGGAACAGGGAGACAAGTGCAAATTGTAGACAGGCCATTGCATCCAAACACTGAAGTTTTCAATTTTTTGTAGTTAATTGAACCTGGCAGGGTTCGTGTGTGCTAATGAAAATAAAAGTGCATTTCATCATTTCTATTGAAAGAGTTGCAAGTTTGCACCCGCAGTGTCCAGGTCTTTCTTTGTCCTTGTGTGTGTGGCAGAGTCAGTCGTGAATAATCTCAGTCTTTTGCAAATACTGTTATGATTGGCCTGGCTGGCTTGGCGCCGCTTGGACGCATCAGACGTTGCGGCTGAGCCTACCGTGATTTCTTCCGGGTCAGCGCTTCCAGAGATTCACCAAGAGCGGCAACAACATGAAAGTCGTTCTTCAAATTCTCTAGGGCCGTCGGCGCCCCTCGTAGAACCCTTTGGACACGCCTGACCGACTGACAGATTAGGGAGGGCTGTTGGCCGTCGAAGCGGCTTGCTTTGTCGTCAAAGTGCCCCGGGGAAAATGCCGAGCAACTGGGAACCGTCTGTGGATGCATTTTTCACATTCTCCATGGCGCCTTATGCCACTGTTTCCACAATTCGTGGTCTGCCTGGCGCCGCATACCTATCACTGCGACGGACTACAGAGGTCATTTCCACGTAGGACTCAACGTCTTCATGCTGTGCTGTGTCGAGCGCGGTGTGCAGTGTTTTCTCCCTCGCCATAGGACGACCTGGGCGTGCCTCTTCCCCCTTTCGTGGGTTGGCAAGGAGGCGGCGCCTCACCTTCCCCTTTTGGGGACGGATGTGAAGATGGCAAAATTCATTGGACTGTCCTGGTCTCCATTGTTTATTCCTGCAGGGAATTCAGGGAAAGCCAGGCCATAAAACGCGAGCGCCTAGACGCTCCCAACAAGCTCCCGGAAGCTCCCATCAGCTTCCACTGAGAGCTTCCATGATGCTGCACCCATCATGTAGTAACACACTACCTGTAAATAATGTAAATAAAAGTTACTGTTAACAGCTCCTGGCTCCTCTTCTCAACATCTCTCCGAGACTCTGGCTGGCTCTGGTCCTCTGGGCAGATCCCTGACCACATCAATACTTATTTTCAACCGTTCGTTAAGGCTTTCTTGGCTTAGGTCTCAATTTAAGCCACAGCTTATGGGCTGTAAATGCACTCAACTGTACAGATCACTGGAGTAACTGCCTTTTGGGACTACTCTCCTTCTCCCTCTATTGTGTGCTCATTATCTCGTCCTGTGCTACACCACACCCCCAATGCTTATTCAGCCACCACCCTTTTTGGCTGACCTTTACACGCATTCCTTTGCACATAGTGACTTATAAAAAATGACGCGCTCTTACTTCACATCACCTCCATACACAACACAGTTGCTACTGAAAGTAGCCTTGAGTGGCCTTATAATTGCTATCACAATAAAAGAGAAATTGCATCCTGCTGCAGTGGTCTAGTGGCTAAGGCTTCTGACTCGGCTTCTGACCTGCAAGTCGCGGGATTGAATCCACACTGTGGCGGCTGCATTTCAAATGGAGGCGGAAATGCAGCCACCTTCATTGTGTGCTCAGATTTGGTGCACGTTGAAGAACCCCAGGTGGTCGAAAATTTCGGAGCCCTCCACTACAGGGTCTCTCATGATCATATGGTGGTTTCGGAACGTTGAACCCCATATATCAATCAGTTAATAGAGAAATTGCAATGGTGCATGTCGTGGACCATATTGGAATGTTTGAACTGTTTATTTGGCCTCTTTTATTTGTTACTGAAATTTGGCGAGTGCCAGAATTTCTTTTATAATCATGTTGTTGGATATTGCATACACAAAAGACCATATGAAGCCTTAATTGCAGGTTTTGTCTGTTTTTAACGAAGTAAAATGGAACGGTACCCAAAGTTTCATTCTCAAGTTATCTATTGGCTTGATATCGGAGCTAATACTAGAAGTTTTTGTACAGCAAGAAAAAAAGTGTATTTTCTGTTTGATTCATCTCCTTTAAATTCAACATCTCTAATATCGAATTGGCCCACAACATAACTTGCTCATCATTGTTTGTTGGGGGTGTAATATACTTCAGAGTGAGTGTTTTATTTGACATTAGTGCCATTTTATTAAAATTAATATTTATAATTATGCCAGGAGTGACAGCAGTACTCAAACAGTGTGCTTGCAGGGACAGCAGCAAAGGTTTTCTATATGTGCTGTGCATAATGCTATACTTCTGTATTGATCTGCAATACGAAATTGCAGCTTTTTGATACACTGGGATTTAACTGCATCATAATTTTACAAGCAGACCAGCTTATGCCTTTTGTACATATTTTTTACCTCACCATGGTACATTGCAATATTGTGATCTCATAGTTTTTCTTAAGCATCAATTTACAAGTCCTTTTAAATGTCTCTTTTCAATTTTTTTGTCTTGATAGTTCTGTAAAATGATCAAAAATGTATAGCATGTGCTCTATTATCGCTTTTCTGTCATTTACTTATTGAGGGTTCCTCGCTAAAAAAACAAACTGGATATTCAGTACAAGAATTCTTTGGTGGTTCTATAGTTGCTTTTGCAGTCGTTTAAGTACCATCTGCTCTTGTCAGTGGTCGCGTGCTTCATAGAATGCACGTAGGAAATTGGTGCAACCAAAACTAAGACTTGTATATCATGAGTTCAGAAGAAATATCCTTTTCTTCCAAAATAAGTTGACTAGATTTGAAAAAGCCCTTGAAAAAACCTGTACAAATTATGAATGCTTAGTTTCAGTATAGGCACATTTAGTTTTAATGAACACGGAAAGTGTACCCTGCAGCTTAGAGCATGACATTTTGCTAGTTGGTAAGTTTGTACATTTTTTTTTTGCAGGTCTTGGTAACTGGAAGCCTTCATCTGGTTGGCGGAGTAATGTGCCTACTGGATCCCAAACTTGCATTGCTTTAGGGGATGTACTAACAAATCTCCAGCTGTATAGAAAATTTACCATCACATTTACTTTAAAAGAGAACACATTATATGGTTGCATTTATATTTCTAGTTTTTCACACTAGAGGTATCATTATATTTTGTCAAGAATAAGGTGTCAGGTTTGAATTACCAATAATAGTACTATTACTGCAGTGTGTGTTTTAACATAACTTTGCGCTTTTATGAAACAGTAGTCCAGTAGAGATGTCAATAACATGTTTTGCAATCTGCCAAACACCAAGTAACAATGCCCTTAATGCACACAGCTTGAAACAATTATTTAATGGTTCACTTTTACTGTTAAGCAGCTGTTATGTTTTTAAAGCTTGCCATTCCACAGCAAGCTATGGTAGTGAGCATGCCAATAATTTTGCAATAATGTACGAAGCAAATACTTGTCTTTGTTCCTTTATAATCAGATTCTCGGGCTCTTAACTCAGCATCATCTTGATTGTCCTTTGGCTTACAGTGAGCTATATGATAAATTAGGTTTTTAAAGGATTTATCAAAAGAGATCACAAGTTTTGGTAAAGAATTGCTGAAAAATCAAAATTTCATAATGCTTTAAGTGTCTCTAGGCTGAAGCACATGTGTTGTGAAAGTTTTGTTAATAGTGTTTTGCATGGTCTGTGTGCAGCTAATGCTCATCTTGCCAGACACTGTGAACTTTGCGCGTGTATAGCTGTCTCTAGTAAGAAACATTATATTGAGGCTATGTTGGTCTCTTTTAATGTGGGTTGTGTAGTTTTTACTCTTTTAAACATTTTATAAAATACTGTTATGCATTTTGATGCAGCTGCCTTGCAATAGGACCCAAGGAGTGTGGCAAAACTACAGTAAGGTATATGCTAAGGCATTTAAAAGTTATAAGGCTCAGATACATCTTCTTTAGAAAGACAAATTGTTGAAACCAACGAAATAAGCTCAAGCCTTCTCTCATAGCTTGTAAGCATGCTGTAAAAGTTAAACAGTGTGCTTGATTGGGCTGGTTGGTGTTGCATGGTAGACTAAAACAGCGTGAAGGACAGGACAAACGGAAAGAGAAGACAAACACAGCATTTTAGTTGTCTTGTTTCTTGTAATGATATATGTGGGGTTTAACGTCCCAAAACCACCATATTATGAGAGACGCCTTCGTGGAGAGCTCTGAAAATTTTCACCACCTGGGGTTCTTTGACATGCGCTTAAATCTGAATAGGGCCTATAGCATGTTTGCCTCCATCCAAAATGCAGCTTCTGCAGCTGGGATTATCTCGCGACCAACGTTCCTGTAAAAGTTCTGCGAATTGATAGGGCAGCATGAAAGTTATAATATGAAAGTTATAATAAAAAAAGCTAATGACTTCTTGAAAAACTGGATTTAGCACGATTTAATGGGACTCGTTATAGCAGCACACTTACTTCCTTGGACACAAAATTCGGCATCACATGACTAGGGTGACATGTTCCGCTATTGCATCGGCAAAACCAGTGGCAGAACAGGCCTTTAAAGCCAAATATGTGAAATGGCCCCCAAAATAACTTTTGCACTAGTGATCAATGTGTACCGTACCCCCCAGAGTACTGAGGTGGTCCATATGTGGCTTTCCAGGTCTCTGGTTTTCCAGAAATTATAGCCGTTTCAGAGCTCTCCCATTATTGGGTGGGTTAGCTTGCTAGAAAATCTCAGCATTTGGCATCGATCTTCTTGGCTTTATTGCTTTACAGATAGAATATGGGTCATGCTCTGCATATGGCACACTATCACTTGTTTGACTGTGCAATTGAATTGTTCTTATTTTGTATTGGTGGCTACAGTTTAAAACTTTTATTTACACCTGTATACCTTGAACAGAGCTGCTAAATAAATGCATTTGTCAAAGGTACTGTATTGTACCCAAGCTTTGCATATTTTAGTTCCATTGCTCATGAAATTGAAATCTTGTGTGGCCAGCTAAAGTAATTGCAAGTTGTGAAAAGTTGCACACCAGCTATAAAAGTTGGAAATAAAATTGGAAATAAAGAAAAGGCAAACCTAGTCATGTTAAATGTTCCTTGAAGGGACTCTAAGGTGAAAGCAGTCTAGTTTCCAACAGATATGCTGTTCTCTAAAACACAGCTGTCATTTATGTCACTATCGTGGCATTATTAATAGAAAAGAAAAAATGATTTCATTTTAAAATTTTAATCCTAATTATTTGCAGGTAATAAATCTTACATTTTTTTGGCCAGGTCAACTCAATAATTTTTTTTTTTACTTCATCTGTTAAGTCTCTGAACCATTTGGCGGACGAAGGAGTTCATTTTTACAGATTGGGAACTGTGTATATACTCTATTGATGCAGCCGAAAACCACAGTGTCATGGCAATAGGTGCACAAACTTCCAAAGTGGTGACCCCATCTGCATATCCTTTTCTCACTTGCAGTCTTCCCGTGGCAAGAGTAGTTGATGCTTATGACATTCTGAAAGAGTAATTCACCTACACGGGAATTTGTTTTTGTTAGCATCCCAGTCACGTTCCTGCAGGTGGTATATACATTGCCTTTGGTGCTCTGCTCTTGCAACTTCTACAGATAGCCTGGAGGCTTCATGTCATCTATTCAAGACTTTTCACTGAGACCCTCCTTGTTCTTGATTAGAAAGGCTGTCTCCACATAAAGCTAGATGTTGAGACAGTCTTAATGAATTCCAGAAAATACCGTAGTAGGGTTTCTACTTGCTCACACTGAAGGCAAAGGTGTGGATGCCCTGATCCAGGAGAGCAGTGTTTGAATGATCATGTCAATATGATTAGGGGCTCAGCTGGGATTTTATTATGCAAAATAAGGGGAAGGGAGGTAGGCAATGCTAAATGTACACACATGGAACACACATGTGGAACAGAGATGGCAAAATTACTTAAATGTAATTGTGTTACAGCTGGCCTAAAGTAATGAAATTGCTTTAACAAAAGTACATTATTCATCTACACTTTATTTAGAGCATGTACACATTCACACCTCAGAAATCTTGATTGTATCACAGGAGCAGCGGGGACTTGAAATGAGGATCAGAAAGGTGTAGTACTTATTTGAAGGGCAAAGTTTGCTTCATCATACTGAAAAGTTGCTCCACAGGCACACATAAGGGCAGAGCTGTTTTGAACATAATGAATTTCTTCATTTTGGGGAATACTAAGAATGTCACCTAAGTCATACCACTGCGCTGACATTCCCTCCAAACACTTGCTTGTCACCCTATAGCCCAATCAGCAGAAACTTGGCACCATCCTCCTCTCTGGGAGATGGAAGCTAAACCTGTTGCGGTGGCTTGTAGCTGCACTGTTGTCCAGATTCTCTGACCTGTCGAGAAACTTGCCTGACCTTGCTTGACTAAAGAACAGTTGTGCAGTGGGAGGATCTAGGACCACAGAAGCCATCATTGTTTTGTCTAAAAAAAAATCCTATCTCAGTTGAACACAGTTATGCATTTGAAACCACTGCATTCTGTTGCTGAGCTGTCCGACAGTCGACAAAGTACAAGGTTGTGGTCAAACCACTTTGTCTGCAGTTACGAGGGCTGTGGCTTTTCAGCAACATTATTCAAGGCTTTGTGTTCAGATGCTACGTGGCTTTTTTTGTGGGCCCGCCTCATTCCACACTTGAGGCTAGGAACTAGATTATCTTTGTTGTTTCAAGTGCATAGCACTTTAGGGGCCCAGCTCATCGTCTGTCCAGTCTCGTGGTCCTACAGTAGTCAATAGTGGAACGAGGTACACTGGTTTATAAGCAGTCCTGCGAGCAGGCAAAAATGTTTTTTCGTAGCAGGCTTGGAGCACCCAGAAAGACATTTTGGAGCAGGCTTGGAACAGCCAGAAAGGCCTTTGCAAGGAAGTTTGGAGCAACGCAAGGAAGTTGGGAGCAGTCAGAGAAACGTTCAGAGTAGATGTTGCCCCATCACAGCACATGTAAAGCAACATTTGTCCAATGCATTTTTTCAGACACTAAGCTAAATTTTCCAATAGCCTTATTATTGCGACAGAAATGTGGTTACTCTCAACGTTTTTTATTTTTTTAGCAAGTTTGGAGCAGTCGGACAAACGTTCAGAGCAGATGTAGCCCCGTATCAAAGCACATGCAAAGTAACATTTGAGCAATGCTGAATTTTTTCAAGCACTAAGCTAAATTTTGCAATAGCCTTTCCTTCATTGTGATAGCATATGAAGGAAAGTAAATTTATGAGCTCATTTTGTTTTGTTAGACACATTATTAATGAAAACTAAGACAATTAATAATAGGGGCTTTTAGCTTCTACGTATACTTCTTTACATTACAGTGTTACCGGATAGAATCTGCACATGCGCGGGTCTTAATGCAACTTAAACCTTTACGTTTCCCGCCCTATTTTGCAAATCCACCTTTGTTCGTAGAAACTTGTGGTATCCCCATTGCGGGGACTCGAGCAGTCGAGTTGAAATAAGCTGAAGTGCGAGAACCAATAGCCATTGCATTGTTTCAGCCGGATTACCAAAGCTAGAATTGCCTAAGACAGATGCCATAAACATGCGAACTCTCGACGGCTGGATAGGTGATGCCATTCAGCGGGGCATTAGTAAACCAGGTAATTACAAAATTATTGCAGAAACATCGTGCATTGTACGTCCGATATAAAAGCCATACATTGTCGTTATTACAAATGAGTTACATTTTTAATTATTTTCACCTAGAAAACATTACGCGTAAGCTGTGTTCATGACTGTGGTTGCACGAACTGTCACAAGATGGCGACATCATCATTGCAGTAGCCTTGTATTTTTCACCCTTTTGCGCATACGAGGGAGGATACTGTACGCGATCAAAGAACGTCTCGTGATTTTGCCACAACGGTGATTCAATCCTATGTAAGTTAAATGCAGTTAGCATCACCATTTATGGTTTGCAACAATGTAAAGGTATGTGCGTTTATGTACGTACGTAAACGGTTACGTATGAAGAGCTAAGACGTTGAAAGATATCCGTTACAGTAAAACGGTAAACGTAAACCGGTATCTAGTAACACGTTAAAGTAAAGAAGTATATGTACAAATTAAAACTCCCTGATGCTTTTACATTACAATTACTTCTAATGAAAGCTTTCACTTACCCTGGCATTTTGTCTGTTAGTTCTCATTGATAGCAATATGGTCACTCTGATTGAGTTTTTGCCATCGGTGTTGCTGTCATGTCCTCTATAAACTCCGAAGTGATAACTTGCCCCCGCCCATCATATGCTCTACCTGCAAGCCACTGCATGTGAGCAAGGGCAACGAATGCTGCTGAAGCAGAGATATAACAAGCCGGCCCATCTCTGTTGCTCAGACTGCACATGTAATAACATCACGCCGCTCACAAGGCTTGCCGTCAAAGCAGAAAGGAAACAACCCACCCATATTAAATGAGCACAAAATGACGCGAGAAGAGGGAGGGGGAGTTGCTCGAACAGTAATTGTGAACTATGCTTCTAAAGGTGCAGGCATGCGCGATACCTTGGCAGCCATCAGCGGGTGGCTCGCAACTCTACAGAACACTGGTGTAAGAATTCCGCCGCGTCAGAGAGAAATTCTCTTTTCGCACAGTCTTTTTGCATTGAGAGCACAGCAGGCGGGTTAAGAAGCTGTACGCGCTGATGCCTGTCAAGATAGCATGTATGCCAGCGATAGAAAGTCCTTACGATTTAAGTTAATAGCTGCTTCTTGAGTGATCACTGCCTTAAAAAAAAAAAAAAAAAAAAAAACGAAGCCATGGCTATTTCAATGACAATAGGAACATGATACTTCAGCCACAATTTTGGGCATGTGGCTTGATGACTGTCGCACCTTGTGGCTAAATTCAGCTCCTGTGGCGCAGTACGATGCTGATAAACGAGCTTGGTGCAACAGGGGTGGTTCGGCGCAGGATGGACTAAGTAAACAAGTTTGGCGCAAATGGTGCAGCCTCGGTCAATGCAGGCCTAACACAAGGCTAACAATGCTCAAAACCAGTGCAACATAAACAAGGTCTAAAATAATATAAGCTACAGAAATAGCCCGAAATAAATCGCAATCATTTATCTAAAATGGCGGAAAATGCTTCTGTAGCATTCTGCGGATACCCAAGCCATGCAGGAAAAGGCGCCACTGCGTTGACAAGCCCACAATTGTCAAGGGAATCCCTGTATTTCCTGTGCAACGGTTTTCCTCAGGTTTCATGGTAATGGAGTGCATGATTTTGAACTGCACCAAAACTTATACAGAACTACATCAGGGCAGGATTCAGAACTGCACCGAGACCTACACAGAACTGCATTAGTGCCACAGAATTTTTTTTTTCTTTCCTTTTTTTAGTCATTTTTATAAAGGAAGCAGATATGCTACATTTTAGTCGAAAGCAATTAGAAATGAAGTGTTAATTTCCCTAAAATGCTTGAATTCATTACTAAATACCAGCTTACAAGAGTAATTCATTACATTACTCATTATAGCAAAAAGCAATGTAATTACTGTAATGCCATTACTGCTAGGTCTCGTATAAAAAGTGGTTGAACTCTGCACACGAGGAACACTTTCAAGTGCAATACCTATGCCTAAAAAACTGCAGTGAAGGATGGGCAAGACAATTTATAAACACATGGCAAGAACAGCCAGAAAGCACTTTATTTGACTGTAAGCCACAGTGGCAGTCTGTGAACATTTCTTATGAAAATAAAAACTAGGACACCTATAGGCCATTGACCAAAATTGCATTGGAAGCTGAAACATCACAAAAGAACTAGGTTGTCCATAGTAAAGATAAGCTATGCTTATTATTTACAAAAAAATAAGAGGCACAGGAACAGAAAGGAGCAGGGAGTGGCACCTATAAATACAAGCTATTTACAGCAGTGTACACTGGGCCACTTGCCTCTTTTGACTAGGCTCTGTGCACAGTGCAGCGCTTGGCCTGACAAATCGCAGACCACAGACCACGTTTTAACGGTGTCAGTGGCACGATTTAGACTTGATATGTGTCCATGTAGACATTCGTACGTCGAGAGATAAATTAGCATTGCACTACTGTCATTTGCGTACAGTCGAAAAGCACCTGTCCAGCACATCACATGAGCTTCTCACTAGGCTCTCTCATGAAGCAACTTCACTTGGTCCTGGATTTAGCTCTTCAGGCTCTTCATCCTGCAAAAAGTTATGCTATATGAAAACACTCCAAGATGCGTGCAATCAATCTGACCATGAATAGAGGGAATAAAACTGGAATGAACCACAGAACATGGCAGGAAAAGCAATTAACTTCATGACCCTAGCTACCATGACATTCAGCACACATACCAGCTTTAGCACAACATATTAACAAATGCTAAAGTAATAGTTATAGTGTAGCCAGATCGAAATGCACACGGATGACCCGCTTTTTTAAAGATTTAGCGTTACTGTGTTTGCGTGGTTTACATAGTCTACTTAAAACATGGCAGTTTTTTTGGATGCCTGCTTTGAACTGAACTTGGCATTAGTGGGGACGGATACACATCTTTCCTAGCAAATGACTGTGCGAAATGACGGCTTGTCTTCAGGTAGCTTCGACGACAGAGTATTAAGGATAATTTAGCCTAGTTTTTGGTGTCACTGCCCATCTAAAATGCTCCTAACTAGAAGATCGATGGAAACAAATCAGCAACATAAAAATTTACATGTTTGGTGCATGGTTCATATTTATTTACTTTTAAAATTACAAAAAAAAGTCGTAACATTGCTTTGTGTGGTGATACAGGCAAACATTCTCTTTTGCTCCTTTTTCTTCTTTTCACCTACTGTTCTTTAACTTATTCACCCTCAGCTGGGTGGCACCACCATCCCAACTATGGCGCGTAAACCGCATAAACGCTGTCCCATTTAACTAGAAGGTGCTGTCCGCAACAAACGTTTCTCGACACGGTAACGCTATTTTAGTGATGCTACCGAGGTCTGCTGATTTGGAAAAATTTTTGGAGCAGCAAAATTTGCATTTTGGGGCACCTTGAAGCAGCAAAATTTTCTACTTTGAAGCAGCAAGATTTTTCATTTTGGAGCAATCTGGAGTAGCTAGCTTCATATCCAGGTGCAGAAGCAAGTTAAGTTTAAATTCAATGACATGAATAATTATTTTGGGCTTCTTGAGAAGACCTACAAATACTTAGATTCATTGTAAACCTGATGGAGGAAGACATCTTAGGAGCACTCTCTATTTCAGTTAATGATGCAAAAATAATGTCATCATGCTGCTGAGCATTCTAGAAAAACTTGTTCAATGATTATTTTTGTAGCCAATAAACAGAATACTGGTTCAATACAATAGTACTTCATAAAATAACTTTCTGAATTCACCCATGTGGTTATCAGCAGATTTGGTAGACAAACTTTAAAGAGACTCGCACAGTCCCAGCTGCAGTTCTCTAAGATGAATCATCAAAGATAAAAAAAGTTCTTTTTCTTCACAACTGATTATAATGCTGGGTGTAACATAACGTCATTTAGCTAGCCTCATAAAGCCAATCTCCTCCGACACTTGTCTCTCTGTGCTGAAACTGAACGATTTAACAAACTTTGTTTTCCTTTTGCAGCGGTGTTTTATGTGGCTAGGGCATTCTGTCTCTACACCAAAAACCCCTATAGTGTCCTCTAGAAAGCAGTGGAAAAAACACAACAACAAGGAGCACCTTATGCATTCACCTAAGACAACTTGAAAGAGAGAGCCATTTTGTTTTTATTGCAATAGCAATTACATCGACATTCTCGATTGGACTTTGCTGTCGCCAGGGCCATAGGAACAAGAATTTTTCTTTTTTTTTGGGGGGGGGGGGGGGGCAGGCAGGCAAATTCATTGGGGGGGGGGGGGGGATTTTCCTGATGTCACCCCCTGGCTACGCCACTGTCACGTTTTGAGTACTGCCTAAGTTATTAACATTCTCTTGCACATAATGTTTTCCATGCTAGTAAAAGCACGCGAGTGGGGAGGACAAATGCGGCTAAAGCAGAGATAAAAAAGCCGACGTATCTCCTTTGCACGGAGGATGGATGTGGTAACATCACCCTGCGTGTCAGGCCTGCCATTGATTGTCACTCAAGCAGAGAAGAACGCGCCGCCCATTTTTAAAGAGCAGGAAAGAACCAAGACCGCAAGGGGGTCTTCTTATATGAACTTTGACTATAAGGGTGTGATCGCTGGCACGCTCGCTATTTCGGCAGTGATTAAAGACAGCTGGTATACCCTTGTACCTTGTACTCTCAATGCGAAGTGACTGGGCAAAAGTGCTTTGCTTTCTGGAGCGGCCATATAGGGGTCTCCACTGAGTCTTAGCCACACGATAGTCACGCCATTTTGTGGTCCGTTCGTACTTTGTATGCACCGTTCGCTGTTCATAAAATCACACTTATCTAGAGCAGCGGAATACGTGCCTGTCGACAGTGTTGTTGGCTGCGGCTTCTATCTCATGCTAGCTACAAGCTCCCGTTGATGCTTACATGTAGCACAAGGACTTAACATGCAGTATAACCATGTTTGGTACCATTACGGCGTCTCTCTTCACATTTCTGAAAAAAAAAAAATGCAGCAGCTGAAGCAGCCGGTTTGGCGCTTTAGACAAGTCTGATTCTATCTGTACGTGCGTCGGCGTGCAAGAGGTGTTCCAGGGGTCTCTAGTCATCAAAGTCGCTGTACGAATATCGAACTCTGCGTGTGCAGAAAGTTTTCTGCACGTGCAGTGAGTGCACGGACCTCCGAAATGGCAATCCCACCACTAGTGCACATTGCAGATGATGTCAAGTCTCATTATTTTGTATAAAAATACAATTTGTTGATATCACATTAATTACTAACAGCTTAAGTGATAGTAACAAATTGTATCTTTAGGACCAGATATCCTGTAATTCATAAGAATGCTGGCTAAAGGGACAATGATCACTCCAGTTGCAAAAGCGGTTTTTGTGCGGTCAGTTATCCGGAACGCTAAGCAGAGGTTAGTACAACAGAGCCTCCAGCGATGGCCCCACTACTGAAAGCATTGCGCTTATTAAAACCGAATTGCGGCTGCTCCGACCAGGACGCATGCTTTCATTATTGAGATGACATTTAATAAAATCATGCGAAAATTTTGCATTCGGACCCTATCAATACCGAGTTTGAAAGAGCAAAGTTTTTTGGGGGGATTTTACCGCAACAGCGATTACAAATGGAGACGTGCTGCAGGAAGGCATTACAAAAAAGCGTTTTTGAATGAATATCCAGGAATAAGAAGTATAAGAAGAAAATCGTCAACGCGTTCCCATTGTTCAGGTGTTGTTCTGTGGATGCGAAGCACAGAAAATTTGATTACGATGTCTAGAAGTAGACGTGACAGATATTCTGGCTTCACGCTCGAAGGTATCAGTGAAAAAATTCCTTTGCGCCATTATCATATTTCACCAAAGAACTCAAACTGTTTGAGCATAGACAAGTATGTCTGCAGGGTTTTCATAGATTTTCAGTCTTTGTTAACACCATTCAAGTGACTCTGCATGCTTTGCCTTGTCCACATCTGCATTATGCCTCTGGCTTAGACTTCTTGCAGCAAAGGATTGAATACAGGAATACAGGTCCACTAACATACAGCAGACTCTCAGTAAACGGAAATCTGTTAAACAAAACTACTGCTTAAACAGAACTATTGCCTTTTCAATGCTTGGTTTCGGGCTTGTATTCTGCACCCATGTTCACCTCTCAGTAAACGGAACTCCTGCTAATGGAACACATTTTCCCGGTCAATTCAGGTTCCATTTACTGAGAGTCTACTGTATTTATATGTGGTAAACATGTGAAAACACTAATGAACACACATTACTGCTATAGTCAATGAAATGAATGGACATGGTTAACTGCCTTCCTACACTGCAGTGTGTGGTGGCTGCAATAACTGTACAGCATTAAATTGAGCGAAAACAATTAATGCCAGAAAAAAACTTCAAAATAATGAAGCTTTTTAGCTTGGCAATTTCTATTTAACAATAGCCTCAGCTTGTAAAAAAGAACAGTTGTCAAAAAAAGTAACTTGCCTTTTCTGTGTCTGTCACAAAATCTTGTTCACAGCACTCGTATTCGTCGTCGTCGGATACTGCAAAATACAATTAGGTCAAGTTAAACTGCTTCCTTTCCACCAGCTTATTCTGACGAAGCAAAGGGGTGAAGCTGCTGATCTGCAGCAAATATTTTGAATTACACAAAGTAAAACATGTACCCACACTTAGAAATCTTATTAATGAACAGCACAAATAGAGGTTAAATACCAACATCAGTGAAACTCTATATCAATATACAAAAATACCAATAGTAGTGAGAGTGCAGCAATAGAGAATGTTCAATATAAAATTTGTTTAAGGGCCCCTAACCAGACCCCATTGAGAATCTTGGTTAATTACTTTAAGTTATAAGGTGCCAGCAGGGAAATGTTGTAACAAGGCGATTTTTCAATCTTGTTCATTGATAGACATGTTACAAGAAATTGAGTTCACAATTGCCACGCCTCCAGGAGGCTAGCTTCACAGCGAGATCTTATACTCTCCCCATTTTGCTTGAACTGGCTTTACCGAGCAGCACAGGTGACCTTGAAGTTAATTTTACTAGCCCTATCATTTTTTATTTATTTTATTTTCATATTTCTATTTCGGTTTTTCATCAAATGCAACCTTGCAGGCTTAGCATTCATTGAAAAACCTAAGTTGTGCCATGGTCTGTGATGCCTTTCACAGACTGCTTGTGGAAGTTTCAACGAGTGCCTGTTGCATTGATATATGAACACGTTAGCTTCCACTCTCTTACAAAATAAAGCTCTTGTGGAAACAAGTGTGTAGCATTCCGTTTTAACTTTTGTCTACTCTCATGCCATGTATGCATGGTCACTACTGAGTAATCTAAGCAACACCCTTGTCTGTATCAAATATCAAAAACCGGTAAGAGGCCCTTTAAATAAGTCGCTAAAATCCATGTTTCCCATAATGAGCTAGAAAAAACTACTACTAAGCTCGATGGAAATGACATCGAACCAACTTGGCCCAATAAAAAGTTTTATGCTGCTTGGAGCCATTCCAAGATATATGTTCACAGTCGTACACATAACATGCAAGTGGAGAGATGTTATTCATCGCCTGTGGCTGAATAGGGCTTTCCTGTGAGCTCAACATTGTGAAAGATAGTGTGAAAGATAGATGGGGTGAACAAATTCTTGTTGCTTCTAGTAGGGCGCATCATGGTGTTATCTCTAGAGCTTGATAAAGCGACAAAGTGAAGCGGTTGATGAGTGGGTATTGATACGTTCAATGTGTGACCCAGCCGTTGGTCAAAATGCAAAGAAATTGCAACGCAAAAATAATTTTGGAGTGACGAGATTTGGGAATGCTTACTGTGTAGTTATAATGGTACTTGTGATATAACACGAAGTACATTTAAATGCCTTTATTAAACCAGTGTGGTTGTCAGTGTTGGAATGAAGATGCCGATGTTCGAAAACCGTTTATTGCATCTGATGGCAGGTACACAATTGACATGACACAGCCGAATTGCCGGGCTTTTAACAGAATAACAGCGTCAACAAAGGATGCGCACGCATGCTCTACGCACTGAACAACAAAAGACAAATAACATCACAGACACATTTCTTGCGATTAAAACACTCCTCCCCAAACGAAATCACAGCCGGTCATACATCAGTCAATCTGGTGGACGCGTCACCCGAGTGCTATATCTAAGCACAGGAGGGGTGGCTGTTTGCTGCGGTGACGACACTGCTGGTTGTACTGAAGGATTTTCCTCTTCCAAAACATCACTTGCATGCGGCAACGACATTTCATCACCACAGCCTTCCACATACTCATGTTCTGAAGAAGTACAACGCAGGTGATCGGCGTGCACAAAGTGCATTTGCTTGCCAACGTACACCAGGTACATTAGTGGAGATTTCACGCTCACCCCGTTCCCAGGCCGCCACTTCACAAGTTCACCACGAAAAGTACGCACGAGCACGTAATCTCCAACAGAAAATGTTCTGGGCTTGTCTCTATGCTTATTCGCGCTGCGGACTTCTCTATCGAACTTAGCTTTGATCGTAGCTTCCATGTCTGGTTTAAGCAGAGATAGTAGTGTGACCAACTTTCTCTTTAAAAATTCTGCTGGTGTTTTACCAGTGAAGTGTGTGGCGTAGTTCTGTACACGAAAAGGAAGTTATCAACTTTGTGTTGCAAGGATTTAGAACTTTGGCTCCGCTCACCCTCAAGCAACTGCTTCAGCAATGACTGTTTAACAGTCTGCACTGCTCGTTCTGCTATGCTGTTCGATTGAGGATGACAAGGCAGTCAGAGTATGCTTAACGCCGTTCACATGCAAGAAATCCTCGAGCTCCTTGGCTTGAAACTGTGGCCCATTGTCCGTAACTATCTCATGAGGCAATCCGTAGCTTGAAAACAATGACCTTACAGTTTCGACAGTCTTTTGCGCAGTAGTTGAAGTCATTATTTTTACATCTACCCACTTAGAGTGTGAATCGACTGCGACCAGAAACATCTTTTCTTTTTCTGCAAAGTCAACGTGCACTCGCTCCCAACTATTAGTACACCATCTCCATGGGGTCAGTGGCCGCTGGCTGGCCTACTGGTCTTACAATGTGACAGATGTGACATTGTTTTACAAATTGTTTGAGGTAACCATCAATTCCGGGCCACCATACCATTGATCTTGCCAAGGCCTTCATTTTACTGGTATGTACCTATGTGTTGTTCATGTAGCAACAACAGTACTTCCTCCTGAAGAACACAGGGTATAATGACTCAGTTCTCCCAAATTAAGCAGTCCTTATCTACCGAAAGTTCAAACAGCCTCAAAAATAAAGGTTGATACTGCACATCCACAGATGACAGCCAGCCATGCCATGTCATTTCTTGTACAGCTCTCAAAACAGTGCTTACACGTTTCATGTGCGATGTCCGTTATTAATGGCAATTCTCTGACCAGGGAAAAATAAAAAATCTTATCTACATCATCAGTGTTCTCAGACAATGGCAGACGTGACAACCCGTCAGCATTGCTAATCTTTGACCCTGACCTGTGTAAGATGCGGAAGTGGTAGTTTGACAGAAAAATGGCCCAGTGGTGGACTCTTGCCACTGCCACAGCAGTGCTATGATGTTTTGCTTCAAATATTACCGTGAGTGGGTGATAATCAGTGATAACAGCAAAGCTGCGGCCATGAAGATACTTGTGAAATTTCTTTATGCCGAAAATGATGGCGAGTGCTTCTTTTTCGACCCGTGCATAGTTTCTTTCTGCTTGTAACATTGATCTGGAAGCGAATGCGACTGAATGTTCAATGCCATGCACAACGTGGGATAACACTGCGCCCAGCCCGTGAACAAAAGCATCACATGTGAGCTGTATTTCTTTTTTTGCATCATACAGCTTTAACACCGTTTCTTTAGTTAGCAACTGCTTACACTGCGTGAAACGCTCATCACACTGACACAACCATTGCCATACGCTTCCTTGGCGTAGAAGCTGGTGAAGTGGTTCTAGCTGTCCAGCTAAATTGGGCAAAAATTTTGCATAGAAATTTACTAAGCCCAGAAGTACCCTCAACTGGGTCACATTGCTTGGTTTCGGTGCTTCGAGGATCGCTTTCACTTTGTCCGCTGTGGGATGCAGACCGTGTTGGTTTATCTCGTGCCCCAAGTACTGTACCCTTTCATGAAAGAAAATGCATTTCGTCACATTTACTTGGATTCCATGTTTACACAGAGTATTTAGAACTTCATTCATTCGACTGTAGCACTCTGTTGAGGTTTTTCCAGCAATAAGTACATCGTCTAAGTGACGGGCTGTGCCAGGTATGTCTTGCAAAACCTGATCCACGACAACATTGCAGGTGCACTCGCATTGTCGTATGACAACTGCCGGTATCTAAAGAGACCCATGTGCGTGTTAACCGTCAGAAGTTCTTCAACATGCGCATCTAACTTCAGCAGTAAATAAGCTTTGGCCAAGTCTAACACAGTGAACACCGTTCCTCCAACCAGGGAAACAAAAATGTCCTCTGGAAGAAGTAAGGGATAGTGATCTACATAAATGGACTAGTCACCACATATCCTTATTTCTTGGCCATTTTCTTTGGCATACAACAGTAACTAGTGGCGTTGTCCAGGTGCTGTGCCACACCCGGTAAATTACCCCAGCCTTCTCTAGTTCTACCAGTTCTTTTTCGACTTGTTCTCGTAAAGCATACGGTACAGGCCTGGTTTATAGAAAACCGGAGTTGCATTCTGTTTTGTGGCAATGCTACCCTTGTATCCCTTTATAGCCCCTTACCCTGCTTGAAAAACATCAGCGTTCTGTTGTTTTAATCATTCTACATCTTCTAGTGATTTTATAGGTGCGACTGCTTGTACCTTAAGCGCAACCTCGCGAAGTTTCTGCTGGTTCACTTTGGTCTTTGCGAGCCAGTCACGCCCGAGAAGCACCGGCATGCGCATACCTTCTACGTACTTGGCAAATGACAAACGGTAGGTGGCGACTTTCCTTCCCGCACCTGACATCGACTTGTGCACTTGTGCAACACCCTTTACCACTGATTGCGGTGCCATTGTACACTTTTGAGTTTTATGTCCTCACTGTTGTACGATAGGCCAGGAAAGTTTTCTGCAAAGTCTTTTTCAGACATGACTGTAACGGCAGCCCCCGTTACAATCATGTCTGTAATGGCGCCCCTGTGTTGTTAGGTTTGGTCTGACCACGTCTGCTGAGTCAGTTCACTCCAAGAGCGTGGCGCACTCTCCACATTGAGACCCCACAAATTGCATACAAGGTAATGCATTAAAATTTATTAAAATGCCCAACATAATGAGTATATTGTCTTGTGTTGTGCAGGCTATAAGAGTTTGACTTCAAGTAGAACCCGCTATAAAAAAAATTTTTCTACTACCTTATGAATGCTACACAAACATAGCGCAGGCAGAGAAGGAATGCTAGGCATTAACTGCAGCCACTCGATGATTGAAATTTGTTTTCTTTCAAGATGTTTCCCTACACCTACCACCCAAGTCAAGCAACTAACATTTGAAGGTTTTGGGATGTTAAACACCACATATCAATCAATCAATCAACATTTGAACGTAGCCACAGATATCCACTATCATAGCAAATGCCAGCAGCATACCTGAAGACCTCCCTTTTTGGGGCTGCTTGATGGCGCAGACCATCTCAGCAAGGTCAGTAAAAGTTGTAGGGCGCCCTTCTTTGCCAGCCTGCACACACAACGCATATTTCACGATGCATAACACAAACTTTCAGCAGCCCATCCTGTTCCACACTTTATGCAATGAATGAGCCAATCCAGGTAGCTAAAACTGAGCAACTAGAAAGTGCTTGTTAATTTGCTTTTTGGCAAACGTATGTCAAGTCCACAGACTGCAGTTAATCACACTGTGCACCATAGTCAAAAACACTGCAATCAAATTTAACTCAAGCTGAAATGATTATAAAATAATGTGGTTATAAATTAGCATACCTACACACATGGTCCTTCAGATCACTTGAGCCAAGTTTTCAAAAATTTATGATTAACGGCAGTGCACACCGCGTTAATACACAAACATGAAACATGAAAGGGACGACACAAGCGCTTAAATTTAGTGAAAGGTCAAAGCTTGTGTCGTCCTTCTCATGTTTCTTGTTAGGGATTTAAACCAGAGTGCGCTGCCGTTTATCGTAAATATGACCAACGAACTAGCCTACAAGTACAATTTTTTTTTAATCTGTGTGCATAACTAAAATGCAACCAGATTGGTGTTGTTCGCTCTTTTCTTTTTATGAACACAGAGTATTTTTTTAAGTAAACTCGGGTCATTAGTTAGTAATTGTTAATGCTCCAATACGGTTTCTAGAACCACTACGAACTGCACCGACAGCTAGCAAAGCTCCCAGGTGGGGTAAAGCCCTCAACGTTTTCAGATGCCAGCTATAAATAACTCTCTGTACATGTGCCAAATGAATGCAAAGTTACTTCAAGGCACTCATATTCTACTGCAACAAAAATAATATTGCAGTATCAACTTTTGCAATGGTAACAACATTTGTGTATACAACAACTTTTTTATGCTAGTTGTGTCAGCTTGTAATCGAAAAAGAATAAGATATATTGCCCATTGCATGAACTGAACCTTCGCCCACAGCCAATATGTCTCGACTTGACTGCAGTGTGCTAAGTATGACTGCAACTGATCACTAGGGTGAAGACACAACAATGTTCTACAAGTCGTTCGACATACCGTGTAGTAGAACCAACATGAATAGTACCATATTTACTTTTTCAATATGAATACAACCAAAACTAATTGTGCATATGTTTAGGGCCCATGTTTTCATTTTTTCATATCAAAATAGAACATGGCTGACTACAGAATAATTAAATATTTAATTACATGCTAGTTGCAAATAATAACTGAAAGTCGCACCAAACGACTAATTGCCTCATTTTATTTTTGTTGGAATGTAATATAAAATGCCTTAGAGTTATCCTATATGAATCTGACACATTTTACGTGTGTGATGTAGTACCTTAAAAATGCGAGCCTAGCAGACGACAGCACCACATCATTTAGAAGATGAGAAAAATGAAGGGGCATTGCAGCGCGCCCATTAAAAAAAGAAGAGGAGACGCTCGCGGAGAACGAAGCCGTTCGGACGCCGGCAAGACGACGCAAGGGAGCCTAGGGCGAACCCTCAACTACGCGCGAGGTTCGAAAGGCCGGGTTCCTGTCCTCGAGCCATTGACGTCCTCGGGGCACGGCGTGGCGGCGTGGCGGCGTGGCCAGCACGAGTTCTCGGTGAGTGGTCCTGTGGACATCTCCGGTACGGCGAGCGCCCTCGAAAGACCGGAGCTGCTGACCACGTCTACCGAGCCGACGTCGCTGACAGTGTGCGGCTACGCCTAGACCTGGTGATATAGACAGTGGTATGCTGACCTGGCACCCAAGCGACGACTGCATCCGAGCACGCAACGGGTCCCACTTCAAGGCATCGGGCTACGGCACAGACTGTGAGACTGGTTACTCTTTTCTTTTGTGTGTGAACCACGCGCGTGTACGACTTACAGTACTGTACGCGCAATAGTTTTTTTTTTGTTCATCCAATATAACTCCCGTTTGTTTTCCTCACTGTCTCCATCTTCCTCGCGTCACACGCCTTGCTATGTGACGAACCTAACACACGACATATCTGGTGTCCGCGAGACAGGACTACTCTTGTTACATCTAAGGAGAGTATCACATCGCATATGCGTGTGTGACGGTCGATGATGGAGGCAGATAAGCTGACGGCGATCGGAAAGGAATTGGGGTTAAGTGGATCAGCACTAAAAGAATGGATGGACCAAGAACGCGCACGCGAAAAAGAGGCACGTGACGCTCGTCTGGCTGAACGAAATGCCGCGAAAGAAGCCGAAGCAGAGGCAGTCGCTAGATTACAAGCAGAGAAAGAAGTTCTTGAGCTCAAGTTAAGGTTGCATCAGTTAGGTGCTGACAGCAGGTAGCACAACTACTGGGCAGCTTACCGAGGATGCGCCCGTAGGCACCACGCAGAGCTACCGTAAGTCCACATAAACTCATCCCAGCCTTTAACGAGGAACGCGATGAGCTGGACGCATATATACAGCGATTTGAGCGCGTCGCTACTAGTCAAGACTGGCCGCAAGACAAATGGGCCCTATCACTAAGCCTTTGCTTGACCGGAGAGGCCTTGAGTGTAGTTGGTAGGATGGCACCAGAACATGCCACTGACTACGTAACGTTGAAGAAAACGCTACTACAACGCTTCAGGTACACAGAAGAAGGCTATCGGACAAAGTTTCGATCAGCCAAACCAGATAATTCTGAAACGGGCACGCAGTTTGCCGGGCGTCTATTAGGTTATTTTGACCATTGGCAAGAAATGGCCAAGACAGACCGGACCTACGATGCTCTGCGAGACAAAATTGTCTCGGAGCAGTTTCTCGCGCAATGCCATGAGAAACTCGCTGTGTTTCTTAAGGAAAGAAACTGTGAAAGCCTTGAAAAGCTTGCGGAGGCTACAGACCACTACTTGGAGGCCCAGGGGTTGATTAACCTTGGCAAATGTAAAGGCTATATCCTGAGCTAGCCTCCAGGTCAAACTCCAACGTCTGAGCGGCAAGATGACAAAGACAGACCGCAGTGTTTCCTTTGCAACAAAAAGGGTCACAGAGCAGCTGATTGCTGGACCAACACAAAGGGCCCAGGTACAAAGCCACCCTTTTGTGGAAAAGGCCGCCGCACTGGGCATAAAACAGCTGACTGCTCCAAAAGGGCCAACAGCGTTGAGAAGGCCTCATGCTCTTTTCAACAAAGAGATGGAGCCAAGATAATTAATTCAGAGTCACAGGCTTCCCTTTGTGTTCCTTATAGGCCGGAGTGCGCAGAAACGCGTACAGCTAAGCTGAAGGAAAAATCGATGCCCACGGGCGAAGGTGTACTCGAAGGATATCCCGCAACAGTACTGAGAGATACCGGATGGGATTCAATCATTGTCAAAAGGTCTCTTGTGGCGGATAGCAAGCTGACTGGAAAGATTTCCTCGATTTACCTCCTGGACGGACGGTTGATGAAGCTGCCTGAAGCACACGTGGAAATTTTTTCACCGTTCTTCACTGGCAAAACTCGAGGCCCTTTGTATGGATACTCCTTTATATGATGTTGTCTTGGGAAATGTGGAAGGCGTTCGAGATGCTCACAATCCTGATAACGATTGGAAGAGCCGTCTTTACACCCAGAACACTGCAGAAGAGTGCTCTGGCGCAAAAAAATTCGGTTCTGTACACGGACCCTTGTATGCAAAGACTTCAACATCGGCTGCAAGGAAAACACGTTGCAAGACAAAAGTTGCTGCAGTAAACCAAAAGGCAGGAAATCCACATCTACTTCCGGCTCCAGTTATAAACCCCTTAGACATCAGCCCACAGGACTTTAAAACCAAACAGGAGGAAGACAGCAGCCTGCGGAAATGCTTCGAAGCCGTCAACAAAGAGGTCAAGACCAGGTTTGCTAAAATATTGTTTTTCACGAAGAATGGTATCCTCTATCGCAAGTACACCCTTCACTCTAAAAGGCAGGTGAATCAGCTTGTGGTACCAAGGTGCCTCCGACAATTTGTTATGAAAATGGCCCACGAAGGCATCCTTTCGGGCCATCAGGGAATTAAACGAACTACCGACCGGGTACTCGAAGAGTTCTACTGGCCAGGGGTTCAGTCAGACATCACACGATTTGTTAAATCGTGTGATATATGTCAAAGAACTATTCCCAAGCATTTGGTGGGTCGTGTACCTCTCAGCAACACTCCTATAATTGACACCCCTTTCAAGAGAGTAGCCATTGATATTGTGGGTCCATTATCACCGATGTCAGAGGGCGGAAACAAGTACGTACTGACAATGGTGGACATGGCAACGCGTTATCCCGATGCTGTAGCACTGCCGAGCATTGAGACGGAGAAAGTCGCTGAGGCACTTCTGGAGATGTTTTCTCGTGTAGGTGTCCCACGGGAGATAATCAGTGACAGAGGCACGTCATTCTCGTCACGCCTAATGAAGGAGCTAAGCCGACTTCTCTCCTTCAAACAATTGCCAACAACCCCATATCATCCCATGGCTAATGGCCTTGTAGAGAGGTTCAACGGTACCCTGCAACAAATGATAAGAAGAATGTGTCAGGAGTGTCCAAAGAAATGGGACCGGTACCTGGCGCCCTTACTCTTCGCTTATCGCGAAGTTCCCCAGTCGAGCTTAGGCTTCTCCCCGTTCGACTTGCTCTACGGCCGTTACGTCAGAGGTCTCTGGCGATAATGAAAGAAATATGGGCCGCTGATCATCTTGATGATGATTTAAAAACATCCTACGGGTACGTAGTCGAACTGCGGAATCGTCTTGAAGACACCTGCCGTCTAGCAAAGGAGGAGCTTCAGAAAGCGAAGCTAGTACAAAAGAAACATTATGACCAAAAGGCCAGACCACGTCAATTATCCCCTGGAGACAAGGTTCTACTTCTGCTTCCATCGGATACCAACAAATTGGTTCTGACATGGAAGGGACCCTTTAATGTCATTGAGAAGGGAAACGATGTCGACTATTTAATTGACCTCGGTACCAGAAGCACGCTATTTCATATAAAGCTACTGAAAAAGTATGAGGAACGGCCGCCTGCACCACCGCATGAAGCATCAGCTGTTTGCCAGG